ACTTACCATGGGCACATCGTGTGCTACACATGTTAGAGAGAAATCAAAGGAACACATGGCCCTAAACCTAAAGGAGCTTCTCTAATAAAATCAGCTTGTCACATGTAAACAGAACTCCTGGAAGAACAGTTCTTCACACGGAGCTTTCTGACATTAGAATAATCTGATCATAGTAGCTAGAACATTAGGACCTGCAAGGAAGGTGGCAACAGGTTTGTAGCTGGTCAGACTGCCCATGAGCATTCAAGTACCCACTGTAACCCCAAAGGCGGGGCCCTTTCTGATTAGTCTTGTTTCTGCAGCTACTCTCTGGCGAGGTGAATGTCCCTTTCATTGGAGATCAGACACTTCTTGCCAGCTGGTGCCCGCCTGAGAAAGCGGAAAGTGCCCACCCTTGAGCATGGAAGAAGTGTGACCCTCCCACTCTTTCTGACAGGCTTCCCGAACCAAATGCATGATAGATTCAGTTCAAGATTTACAGATTTCTGTTTTTGAAGATACAGGCAATAATTCACAGATGTGTGATATTTTAAACTCTTTTCTTGCCCTGGCGTTGTCCCTGCCCGCTCTCCATGTAGGAAGGATTAATTCCCTGTTCTCTTGTTCCTTTCAAATTCTGCCACCTCAGGCATTTTACGAGACCAGGAGATGTATCAGTTAGGATTAGGATTCCTGCCGAGTAACAGTGGAACCCTGAGGAGTAGGGGCTGGTACAGTGGGCCAGTGTCAGGTCCAGACTCCATTCAGTGGAGCTCCCTATCCCTTCCTGCCAGGACTGGCCTTTATTCTCCCTGTCCAAGGAGACACCTTTCTCCATGTAGCAGGAAAAACAGAAAAGGATAACGAAGGGCCAAGGGATGCTTAATCTTTTAAGTTGCTAGAATATACCACAAAATTCTGTTTTCATAACTTATTGCACAGCAGTTGGTCACTCCTTAGGAGTGGGAAACTGGGAAATAGTCCTCGTTCTAGGTGGCCCTGTGCCCAGCCAAAGAGTCTAATAGTTAACATTCATATAGTATTTGTTACATAAGAAGCAGTATTCTGGTGTAATTTTAAAAAGTCAAACGTTTACTGGGCCAGAGACTGACATGATATAGGCAGTATTATGGTAATAAAAATAACAGGATGGCTATCATTTACTGAGAGACTGCCACCTGTCAGGCACTGTGTTTGGTGTCATGTATATGCTATCATTGGTTCTCAAATAGCACACTTGCAAAGTAGATATTTTCCACATTTTATAGGTGAAGAAATAGAGAATAAGAGAGACTAAAACTTTTGTGAGGGCATAAAGGTGGTAAAGTATAAACCTATCATTTGAACAGGAGTGTGGAAATAAATATATTTTACGAAAAACTCTCTTCACAATGAAACACCTTCCTAAGCTTGAGAAAAGTGGGAGGCAATTAAATGTTGGAGCTTGGACCCCGGAGTTACATTGTCTGGGTTTGTCCCAGCCTGACCATTAGAAATTCTATGAACTGCGACATTTTATTTCATTTTTTAGGTTTCCAGTTTCCTTATCTGAAAAAGGGGTTAATAACTGCTGTGTTATTTAAGGAAAAAGTCCACATAGAACACTTAGCATATGTCTGGCACTTAGTAAGCATGTGGTAAGTCTTCATTTTATTATTGTTAATGTTATTTTATTAACATGATTATTGTTAATGTTATTGTATAATAATATTAGCATTTTGGAATAAAGTGGAGAAGAGATAAAAGTAGATGGACCATCTATGAGTCACTGCAATGATCAGAAGATGATGGAACTTAACAAACAATAGAGATAGTAACACAAGCATCAACTTTTTACTTGTATCAGAAATACAGGAAGATAGTCTTACTACTTTCTGATTCTCTGCTCCTTACATTGACTGAAATGGCAACATTATGTTTACTTTATACATTTTCAGATCCTGGATGGAACTGTGCTAACATACCAAAGTACCTTATGACTTGTTTATCAGCTAAATAGACCCTTCTTACATTAAAAAGTATTTTTAAAGATTTAAAAATGAACTTCTAAGACAGCATTGTTCAGAGAAACATTGTTTTTTAATAAAGGTGGCCAGCTTATGAATGAAGGCTATGTGAAGTCATACTGCCCACCACTTCCTAACAATTCAGTCTTTTAATAAAGTAGTAGTTAAAGTTGTAATTTACCTGGCATAAACAATTATGGGTATATAATATAATAACTCTAGAAATTTTTTTGAAAAGCAGACACTCAAAAACCTAAAGAAGTTAAATCAAGGACTTTTAAGCAAAGTCTGTGTCTAAGAAGCAAAGTTTTAGAAATTCTTTTTACTCTAAAATGACTTCTGTTAGGAAAATTTTTCATTAAAAAAAAAATCTATGGAAAAATTTTGACAAGAAATTTCTAGTAGACCAAATCAAAACTTGAGGTAAGGAAAAACTACATTTGGTGACTAATTTTGTGGTTTTTTTCAGTGATCTGATGTGAAGAATATTTTTGCATCTCTTGCAGAATCCTAATGTAAGAATTTGTTCTGGAGGTGTTGTTATTGCAGTTCTTGGAATTTAGATTTCTAACAGACAATAAGTAGGATGAAATGGAAAGAAAACTCGATTTAAAAATTAGACACCTGATTTTAAGTCTTTTAAGCTTTTCATAGCATGGAATCAGGGTGTGTTGGGTCCTCCAGGTTGGAACCGGGAGAAGTATGAAAGTCCTCAACTGACTGGTGTCCTCTAGTCAAGTGCTCTCTGGATGGGAAAGGTACTCCTTATAAGAGGACTTTCACATAGTCTTCAAAGATCTCATTGTCAGGGACCTCCTACCTGCAGTTCCCTTTAATTGAGACTATTTCTATTACAGCTCTTTGCTGGAACTTTGTCTGTAGCCCCAAGACATTCAGCGGTCCTCTCAATGTTTCATTTTCCTGTATTCTACCAACAGTCAGGCTTCCCTGTGTTAGCAAATGATCTGCCCCTCTTCTCTGTCTCAGTCACACACACACACAGACCACAAAGTCCACCTCAGTTTCAAGGGACACACTGATACATTCTTTGTCCAGCAAACTCGGGGGGAGGGGGAAGGGTTTACTTGCTAACTGCAGCCCTAGATTCGCCTGCCACAGGCTGCTTCAACCCCTGCTCTCTCGTTAGGTTCATTAGCTATGACTCTGACACCAGTCATGTGCCCCAAACCTCAGGGAACCCCTTGCTAAGCTTTCCGTAGAGCCTAATTATTATCCTTTTCTCTTGACTTGGCATTGGGGTTAGTAACTTTGCTCCTTCCCCTTTGGAAGGGGGCCTCCTAGCATAGCCATCTCCAAAAATCGTCCTCTAATCTTCTGCTCTTTAGGCTACCTGCTTTAAAAAGTTTTACATCTTTGTTTGGTACCCCTCTTTAAAATCTGTCCTTGCCAAAACATTTATTTTAATTTTTAGCTAATATTGCTAGACTTACCGAATAAATTCCAGCCCCTCAGGTGGCACACACAGATGGCTATGCCCTCCCCCACCAGCCTTGCCTCTTGCCTTTCCTCATGCTGTATTCGGTGCTCCAGTAACATCAGACTGGTGATTTCCCCACTCTCGGCGCTTCATTCTTCCACTAAGCAGTGAAATCAGCATCTACTAGTGCTCGACACTCTGTTAGATGACAGGAAGAAACGCTAAGGGAGACCCCTGCCCTCAAGGAACTCACTATCTAGTGGTACTTCAGCCTTCGTTCTTGCCACCACACTTGCCAGGAAGCTTTTCCTTGGTTAACTTCATGCTTTATTCCTTAGCTCTCCTCTCAGGCATCATTTTCTGGAAGCTGAGCCTCATCTCTCTGCATCCTCCATGGGTGCTGCCTCTCCCCAGCCAAGAGCCCCTATGGCACCCTACATCTATTGCCTGTCATACACCATTCTGCATCAATACTACCTTTTCCCACTACTGTTTCCCTGACTATCTTGTAAACTCCTGGAAGGTAGAGAGAGCATCTTATTCTTTGTAGTCTCCTCACTAGTATGCCTGTAGATGTTCGTTTGACCGAACAAAGTGCCAAATATATACAAAGATATTTGGATTTACTACCTGGTAAACACTTATTATTTTGCTGTTAAGCAAATTAACAATGACTGAGGTGAATATACCAGGAAATGGTATATAGAAGAGAAAGGCCTGGACTTTGCTGCATTCTCACAGCTGTTTCAAATGCTTCCTGACTGTCACTCACTTGCTGGAAGGTAACTTTTGTGAATCCCAACTCTACTTGCTCTGGACATGGCCATAAAGTCTTTATTGTGAGCTCTTCCTTTAAATTAAACATTTCCTTGAGAATTTTCTGAATAAAAAGTACAATTTTAATAATATGAGAGCTTTGGTTAACTTAGCTGCATTAACCTGTGCTGTTTTGCATTCCCTAATTTTATCCTCTTGAAAATAAGTATCTCTCACAGTATGGCCTGGGGGGTAGAGGGAGGTCACACTCTTAGTAGAGGCAGTTTTGAGAGGGAAGGAGACTAAGTGAAGAAAGAGGTTGGACTTGTTCCAGGGACACCAAGGAAACTCTCCTGAGAATGCTAGCCAGGGTTTGGCAGGCCCAGAAATCAGGGGAATCTAGAATTCCTGGGATGATTGTGCATGTGAAAAACAACAACTTAGTTTGACAAAGGTCTAAAACAAACTGGTTTCTCCAAAATCCATGTAAAATAGAATGACTTAGATCACTGGAAATCAGAGCCTCATGAATGGATAGAAGAAGTCAGATTTCCCCAGTACATACAAAAATTAAAAATGCTTCAAATTAACCTAAAGTGGTTAAGTCAAAACTAGACAAGCTCTTCAACTGTTTAAAGGACTCTATGATTTTTAAGTACAGGTGGCATATCTGCTTCAAAATCAAAGATTTCTCAAAGGTTTTTTTTTTAATGAAATAAAAACAAACAAATATAAGGAATCAAAAGAAATTTATATTTTGAATAAATTTTGTGATTAAAGCTAATTAGTACATTTTGTGTATTATAAAAATATTTTAGCCTATTTTCTTGAAACTGCTATTGACTTTTTCTTGCAGTGAAACAAAATAGCTCATAAATAAGCAATTCTTGTACTTTTGCTCTCAGCCTGTTCTTCAGAATAGCACTTCAGTTGCTTCCTGAAAAGTGAAAACAATACAAATAAACTTTTTAAGTACTGGTAACATCTAGTGTGATTTAAAATATGTTTTTTTTAATTTTTAACTTTTTTAACTTTAACTTTTTAAATATTTCATGGTATGGTTAATAAGGCAAAAGTAATATTTAAAAATTAGTATTTCAAAGTTTGTCAAGTTAATGTTAAAATCAATAATGCACTCTTTTTGTGGAACTGAGGAGATAGAATAGTGATGCTTAACATTGTATTTTTCACATTTGAGTTTTGTTATTTTATTTAGTGGAACTTCATGACCCTCTTACAAGTAAAATATTGTTAATTCACAATGCAAAGTTAAAAGAACTTAGCATTTCATTTCATTATGGTTGCTGTAGTCTGAATATGTCCTTCCAACATCCAAACATTGAAAACCTAATGCCTGCTGTGATGGTATTAGGAGGCAGGGCCTCTGAGGATGCTTAGGTCATGAGGGTGGAGTCCTCATGAATGGGATGAATGCTCTTATAAAAGATACCCTACAAAGCCCCCTAGCAGCTTCTGCCTTGTGAAGGTACAACGAGAAGTCTGTGACCCAGAAGTGGGCCCTCACCTGACCACACTGGTACCTGGTCTCAGATTTCCAGCCTACAGAACTGTAAGAAATAAATTTCTGTTATTTATAATCTACCCAGTGTGGTATTTTGTTATAGCAGCCCCAAAGGACTAAGCAATGGTGTTTAAATCATCTTATGTCTTAATCAAAGAATGCTAGATTATTTAATAGCAAAGGAGAAGCTGTTGATTAACATTTTTGCCTGGGAAAAAAACATCCTAAAAAGAAAATTCAGGATGAGTATCATTTATCAATGACTTGAAAATAGAACTCTCTGCATTTTGTAACATCCCAAACTCGTCAGAAACAAGCAGGATGAAAATAAGTGAAGACAAATGGAAAGCAATGCATTTAATGATGAAATGCAAAATATACAGTCAGTAAACAGTACTTCTACTTTATATTTTAAAGCTTCTGAGAAGAAACAAATAAAATTAAGCAATGCCTGTCATACTACTATAAAATGGACAATGGATGTTACTTTTATTAGGATTCTGGACACAGAAAAATTGGCATAAAAATACAATAACTTGTGGGTTGGTCATTTATTTACTGTCCCTCAGCTTCAACCTCATCCTTCCATATTCAGCTGTAAGAGGCTGGGCCTGGATCTCTTCAAACCATGCTTCTCCCTTAACACCTGGCTTGTATTTAGTTTTTACCATTATTCCTTCCTGTTTGATCACTGTTTCTGAAACCCCAGGTTCCAATTTGTTCTGCTACTCCCAGAATCAGCCTTAATGTATCCCTTTATCTTAACCTTATATGTATTTATATCAAAAACCTAGTCTTGGCTTTTACTACTTGAAATACTTCAATATCCTCCTGAATTATTACTTTATCTCAAGTTCTTCCTAAATCTTTCTAATTTTGATATTTATTTAAAAAGTAATCTAATTAGGTGTCTTAAAACTGAGAATATTTGTCATCTTTTGATATTTGGAAGTCTGTATTTGTTCTATGTAGATCAATACTGATGATTTTCTAAAAATTTTATTTTGAATCATGGTGAACTACATATAACATCACATTTTAACCATTTAAGTGGACAATAGTGTTAAGTATGTTCATATTGTCCTGCAACCAGTCTCCAGGACTGTCTTCATCTGCCTCAACCTTATGAGTAGTTCGTCTCTGATGCTTTCATTTCACTTGTCTGTCAGAAACTCTCCATCATTCCTCCATTAGATCAATTACACACTGATTAATATTAATGTCTGCCAGTTGAAAGTATTTACTATTTGCCTACAATAATCCTATTCAACATTTCCCCCTAAATCAGTAGGAAGAATTTATCCCCTTTATAAGATTTAAAAAAAAACACATTTTTAGCATCTGTCATGGATAAGGCATGTGATCTTATCTTCTAAATGCTACAATTTAGTAAGGAAGATAGATATGAATATATCTGAGTTTAATAAAGATGTACTACAGAAAGGCAGTAATACTAGTATGAACAGAGCACAGTGGAGAACAAGGTAGAGGAGGATGAAATAGAGAGTGGAGAGCAAGAAGGGAAACCTGGTAGAGGAGGTGGGTTTTGAGCAGAGCCTGGAAGGATATCATGACAAGTAGACTTGCTGAAGAGAAGAAGATAGTCCAGATCAAGGGAATATGTGGGATTGTAAGGAACTTTTCTAGAAATGATTACAAGCAGTCTTCAAGACTGGTTTCAGGGCCTTAGATGTTGATTATTATTTCCAGGTAGTAAGGAATCTTTGGGGATTTGAGATGAACATATCACTACATGATCTTGGGCTTTAGGAAGACAAATCTGACAGCAATATGGAGGATAGGCTGAAAGTGAGGAGTTTGGAAGCAAGGAATTCAGGAGGCTGTTGCAGTAGTCAAGTGAGAAGTAAAAAATTCCGAGTGGAGCAGTAAGACATTGAATGAGACAGATATGAGACATTATGGTTGGGCACAGATACTCTAGAGCTCCTGATGGGATGTGGGGCATGAAAGAAAAGGAGAAGTCTATGCAGCATCAGCCTGAGATCAAAAGGATGGCACTGACATTCACTGAGGTGGGGTCGCAGGAGGATGTTTGGAAGGGGAAGATGAGGAATTCATGCTGAACACACATAGCAGATGTCTTTTTTCACACCCACTTTTTTCTTCACTCCTACCATGTCCCTATTCTAGAGCACCATCCCCTCCATTTCACATCTTATTAGTTATTTATAAGCTCAATGGTACTGCTGCTGAGGGGGTGACATTCAATGTAATCTCTAATCATTCTAGCCTACAGGCACCTGTCCCTTCTAGTAATCTCCCTAATAAGCACTTTCTTTGCCTAGCACTTCTGGTACCGGCACTTTGACTTCCCTCTGTGGAACCATTTCTCTGCCCTTCTCAGCACCTTGCTCCGTGTGATCCAGGCCAGGCTGATTAGAACCCAGCATCTTGTGGCCACTGTGACTGGTTCAGGAATGGACATGTGACCCAAGACTGGTCAATGATACAGCTCTGGGATGTTTGCTGGAAGTGTTGGGAAAAAAGTTTGCTCTTTCTGCATTAGCTGTTGGACTGGTGGAACATGCAGACACTGGCGGTACCTTTGCTATGAGGTTTGTGGGTGGTGGAATCTGCCTGGGAGTGAACCTACCTCTGGGGAGAATGCAGCCAAGCAATGGGGAGACACTGGTTTGGGATAACATTTTAGTACGTGGGTTTGGTTGTAGAAGAATCACACTAGTTCTGGATTTCTCATTTAGGTGAGTTCACTGTACTGCCTAAGCCAATTCAAGCTAAGCTTCTGCCCCCTGCACCCGGCAGAGAGTCCGGACACCACTCGCAGCTCTCAGTCCCCACATTTTTCAATGTGCAGTGAATGTGAGCAGTTTCCCGTGGGGTTGAGTTTGCCTCTTACACTGAAGCTATTACTTTCTCAGTGGCTGAGACTGTGTCTTTGTGTCCCCGGTGGGGCCACGCACAAGTGCTGTGCGTTCAGTCTCTGCCTAGGGAACATTCACTGGTGCCTCCGTATGTGGAGACATAAGTTATACACAAAATGATCTGTGCTTACCTGGATGCACACTCAAAATCAAAACTGCAGCCGTGAGTATTCCAACAGCAACACTCCTCCCATCAGACAGCTGACCACTATTGTCATTATCTGGGCAGCTGCGCCCATGACGGCCGCCTGGCTGCTGACGCTGACGCTGCTGCTGCCGCCGCCGCCCCCGCCGCTGCCGCCGCCCCCAGAGACAGCCGAGGCCAGGAGGCTGAAAGTCCTGGATTCCACCCGAACAACATCATCCAGTATAAACTCAATCTTATAATTCCTTCCTAGAAAAGAAATCATCCCAGTGTTTGACTTCCTTTTACAATTTGTTCATTTTCATATAGTCCCAAATGGGTTTTCATTGATTTAAAAATACTGTATGATACCTAGTGAAGTATATTTGGAAGTTGAGTTAAATGAATTAAAGAAAAAACAAGTGTAGAGAGAGTCTCAGAGTTTCAATCTGCTCCATCAACTAAATCTGCTTCTTAGGGATTCCTTCCGAGGGCTCAGGCCTGGGGATGGGCGCTGGAAATAAAGGACAATAGAGAGGAGAGGGGAAGACGCTGAGCTCTCTCACCCTTGTGCACGTGACCGAGGAGCGGAGAAGCCTCAGCTTCAGCTGGGGGAGGCTGGATACTAAACTTTGAATTTTGAAAATTTTCAAACATAGAGAAAAGTTAGAAAATTAGTTCAACAGACACCCATATGCCCCTCCACTTAGATTCAATAATTTTGAAACGACCTCCCACATTCACTTTACATCAGGTGCTGTTTTTGTGTTGCAATATTGTGACCCTTCCTTTCTTCTTACCCCAGGAAGACAAGCTCGAGGAAACACTTGTTAGTTAGGTTTAGACCGTGAAACAGAAAAAGCTCATCCAAATATTTTTTAATCCACATGCTAAAAATTCCAAAGTTTTGAACATGAAATAACCAATTTATTTTTCCTTGCCCTAATTTCCTCTGGGATTCTTGCTGTCATTAATGATGGTTACCACACAGAGAGCAGAGTTTGCAATACTTGTACAACCTTGATTTTTTTATTCTCTATTTCTTTTTTATTCTCTTTTTTTAATATCATTTCTGCTTTCATTCTTCCTTTCTTCTTCAGAGAGAATAAAATTAGATCTTGACCACAGTGTGCTTTCATAAACAACAGCAATACATCCTTTAACTTTCAAAATGGATAAGCATTGTTCTGTAGCATTTTCTGCCACTGTTACAATTCATGACAATAGTGCATTTAATCCTTCTTTTGTTCCATTTGAGAATAAGCTAATTTTTGTGGCAGGTGTATTTTCTGTTAAAGATTTTGATGTGTGACGAATTTAGGTTTTGTGTGTTTGTCTCCTTCAGTATCATGAGGAAGCCCAAGCTAGCCTTGTGGAGAGGTCACTCCATGGAGAAGAACTTGAAGAATGCAGCCAAGATACAGAGTCAGAACCTTAGGGATATGACTCCAGTGAAGCCAAACCAGTTGCAGGCCAAGATACCATGAAGCAGAGGTGAGCCTTCCTGACAGAATTCCCGACCCACGCTGCTGTGAGCAAATAAAATGGCTGTTTTAAGCCATTAGATTCTGGGTGGGTTTGTTATATAACAATAATAACTCAGACTAGTAAGTGCTATTTCGTGACATAGGTCACTAGATAAGTATGTCCCAAATATTTATTGTCTGTCAGTAATATTATTTTTATCCAGGTGGCTCATAGAGGCAGTCTCAGCTCTTTACTTTCTTTTCTTCCACTCCTTTCTCATCTAATTCTCACTTGCCCATTTTCTGTCTTTGAAACCACAACCCATACCTTCTCTATCCTCGTGGCCCCTTTTTTGCTCTTTATGGAACTATAAGTAGAAAACAGTGTGCTGCCAAGCTGTCAGGATAAAACCTAACCAGCAAGGGGGTTTCCACAGTGCAGTAACTGTGGGGATACCTACTAGAAAGTTATAAGAAAGATGCTTTGTTAATTTTTTCCCAGGTGCTTTGCTGTTATTAAACTTAGCAGTGGTTAATCTACAAACTGCCCAACCGATCTAAAGATAATAAAATAATGAACAGATGACTGTAACTGGCCTTCCTTACTATACACAGCCAGGAACTGAGGCCCCATACTTGATGAAAAAAGAAAAGCAAGACAGCAAGCAGGGAAGCTGGCTACAGAATTAGAAGCAGTGGCTGTTCTCCACAGCAGGTCAGACAGACACTCCAAGGAAAGCTGTGATCTCTCAAAGAAAGTTTACTACATAAAAGAAGAGTACTCTACTGTTATCACTATAAAATGTCAAGACCTGTGCTACTGCTTCAACACCCCAGCGATCTGTTTACTTTGGAACATTGCCATTTGGAAGTAGTAGTTTGAAAATCTTGGTTTCCAGGTTGTCTTTCCCACTGAGCTCCTTTTGGGTCACCTTTATGGGAAGGTGGGCAACCTTCTTTTCAGGAGGGTTGTGTCAGGTCCCTCATGTGTCATAAAAGAGTCTCAGTCCTACCACCATTTGGACAAACTGGTAAAGAATGTGGCTTTGCCCTTAGCTGGCAAGTGTATAGGACACTCTATGTGCTTGTCCAAGAGCATAATGTTGAACTCACTGCCATCTGATTCTCATCAGATGCTAGCTGCCCAGGAGGCAGATACCTGCTATCAGGCATCATCAAAGGGAGAAGAAACAAAATATATGGAAAAAAATTTTTGGAATGGTTTCAGTTTTTGATATTTGGTTAATATGAAAAAAAAAGACTATTATTGGTATTTCTCTTACTTATTTTACTCTTAATTTTTACTTTTAGTCTTACCTTTAGTGTGTATGTGTGTCTGTTTGAGAGAACAGTGGTAAGAAGTGGAGAGTGCCACTATGTAACTTCTGAGAAGTTAGGGCCTAAGAAGGTCTTAAATAGGCCCCAGGTTGAGGTAAACAGATTAATGGAAACCTGTCTCAAGCAGAACAGCTTATCCATTTTTTTCTTCTAGAGACTCTGTATTCTACCACCAATAGAGACTGGTTTCTGCTTTTTGGACACATCTCATTGGCCTCAGGCTATTACCAATTGTGGAGCTATGCTGTCAACTCTTACGGAGATAATATAAGAAACATTCCTGTGGAAGTTTAACTGTATTTGCTGTAATAATATTGAAGATATCACTTTGTACAGATTCCCTGGATACACTTCATTAGAACTCATAGGAGATATTTGTTCTGATCTCAGAGCAAGTCATAATTCTACACAGAAACTGGTTTGTCTGTCTGACGGGTTCTGTGAAGTTGTGACACCACTTACGTTTTCTCCTTGGTGTTGGCTTTCAGGAAGACGAGAACCCCCTTTCCAGTCCAGATCTGAACTCCTGCCTGGGCATGACAACTATAGGAGCCTATCATCTTACCCTTTCTTTTCTTTAATTTGAAAATCTACACACTGATTTTCTTATATGGATATAAAATATGTGAAAATTTAGAAAAATACACAATAAAAATATGAATCATGATACAATTTTGCTATATATCCTCAAATTACCTTTTAAGATTTCCTTAAGTTCTTAATTTCTATTTTGTTTTGCATGTTAAATATATTTTTGTAAGCTAGACTTAATGTTTTCTGAAACAAGGCAGAGTATAGTGTTCTGATTTCTGTAATTTATTGACCAGAGTATTATAGAATGCTTTGTTTGATTATGTTGTCCTATCAGTGAGAAAACGAAATAGTACATGTACCTGTCCTAAGAAGAGTAAGGTCTGTGTAGTTGGCCCAGCAATTGCTGAATGGAATTGTTGTATTTCCACTAAGACCACTGATTTGGTTATTACTGGAGTCCTTTAGGATGGCCTTCAAAGTCAGTGAAGTAATCCCAACTGATACGCAATTACCCTGAAGAAAACATAGTAGGAAATTACAATTGCCCTGTTCCCATGCTTTTTTAAAGATAAGTGAAACTTTATTTTTTTTTAATGCCTTATTACACATTTAAAATCTGCAGAAGCTCCTCTTCCTACACAAAGAGTTCACAAATATGGGCAGCAGGGCAAGTTCAGTGAAAAGGAACATTTTTAAAACAGTAAAAGATGATACCCACAGGTATTAGTCCAGCTTCTAAGCAGCACTGCCACCCTCTGATTGCCAGCATACCAGCATTAGTGAACTTTACTCACCCTCCAGAATTTAGAGCTTAAGTCCTTCTCTTAAATGAAGCTTGGAGTTATCACTTACATCAGAATCTACTGCCTTCACTGAGGGCTGCTGAGAGAATGGTTGTCCGGTGTGTTCGGCCACTGGCTGAGTGACCACTGAGAGCGAGGACACAAAGGCCACGTGATGAATGGGAAATGCAAGCCTTTCAACGGGTTGGGCAGTCACCTGTAACAGTCATGAGTGATCGAGTGGTGAACTACATTCAGTAGCAAACTCAGGTTAGGTTAAGTGTAATATTTTTTATTTAAAAATATGTTAATATTATTATAATATTTCTCCCAGATCAAATTCATAAAGCATTGTTATAAATATTAGAAGCAAAGCATATTTCATATCAATAAATAATTTTTAGGAGATATGCTCCTTTTTTAACTACTTTATCATTTTCATGATACCATAAAAAATAGCCAACAATAAATTAGAAATACATGGCCTCTAAATTATTGTACTGAAATATAAAAAGAGTGAAAAACAAGAAATAAGCAACATTTAAAATAGCTAAAATGCATTTTTATGTAGCTTTTTCTTACCTTAATCCAGGCAGAATCACTTGGGCTGGGAATTGGGTTGGTAATAGACATGGAAGAGATATTAAATCCAAGGATACTACTGGATTTTCCTAAAATTATAGCTTGTGCAAGAGAACCAGCAATTTCTTGGAGTTCATATAATTGCATCTGACCTATGGGCAAACAGCATTATGACATGTGGATTATAAAAAATTCAGAATTGTGAGAATATGTGAGAGCTTTTTACTTTAGTTTTGTTTGCACTGTTTCACTCACATTATAGTATCCTACAGGTTTCTAACTGTACATGAGCTAAACATGACAAAATCATATTAATGAACTTAGGAAAATGAGGAACTCAGTGGAATATGTTTTTAAACTGGAATTAAAGAAAAACAAAAGTAGATAAAAGAGATACAAGAAAAATGAATGAAAGCAAATTGGGAAAACATGTCTCCTAATTTAATACTTTCCTATGTCATTCTTTGTTTAGAAGTGAAGCTCTATCATGCAGATCTACCATCACATATCATTTAAAACAAATAGACTGTTAATTTTTAATGGAAAGATCATCATCAGATTTATGCAATATATATTAGTAAGTTGCTCAAGTTAACATTAGATAACTCACAAATTGTTACTTGCTCTGGATATTAATGATTTTGAAGGTTAATTTTAACACTAGGTAGTTTCTATTCTCTTTCTGGTTTGGCAAGTCCTCTTGAACCTACTGCCCTCAAACTGCTCCTTACTACATGAAGTGGTACCTCCATTTATCATTCTCCTTTTGTCAGAAGCTACGTACTTTTGCTTGATCCCTTTTTCTCCTTCATCTCTTTCCCACACCACATAATCAATTACCGATGTCTAAATTTCTCTGTCTCCAGGGTCAAAATTCTAGTCAAAGCCAGCACCAGTGGGGTTACTAACACAGCTTTTGGACTTACTTTTCTGTATCCCTTCTTTCCCACTCCATTCCATACACTGTAGCCAGTGATCTTTTAGAAAACTAACTGTAACCGGAATAAATTCTGGTGCACTGTAGGCCTTGCCAACCCCTCGTTCCCAGATATCCACACCGTCTATATCCAGAGTCCGGCCCTGCGTTTCTCCCATTAAGGCTGAACCCTGGAGCTCAGCGCTCTCAGAGAGCAGGAGTCAGTGTTCCAGGGCAGCTGGTCTCACAGAATACTTTAACAATCACACTCTTCAAGGAACGTCAGGCCCTGTCAGTTCACAAAGGTGTCTCTTGGTTGGTTCAGGCTCCTTGTGTTCAGTGTTTCAGATTCCTCCGCCCTCTGTTCCTTCCACGCACCCTCGTCCAAGATGGCTCCCGAGAACTGAGGGCTCCTGAGTCCCGGGGGCGGCAGTACAAAGGTGCTTCATTGCCACTGACAGCTCCTACCGTGTGTCCTCACTGGTTTCGGGTGGTGCAGAGTGGCAGGTCTGACTTGTCTGTACTACTTTAGCAGGTTCTCTCTGTTTGACATGTGAACGCATCTGTTTCTGCTGGTTGCCAACTGGAAAGCAAGGACCTCAGCTTGAGGAGCGCTTATTCCTGACCAGACTCTGCTCATCCAGCGGTCCCCTCAGTACTTAAGTAACTTCTTTCTGGGACATCTGGGAACTTATGGATATCCTGACACTCTGTGAAGGCTGTGGGGAGCCAGGAGTATTACTACATACACATCTTTCTCGACATTTCCCAGTATTTTGCTGTGAAATTGCTTCATGCGAAGTTGTATCCCAGTCTATGTCTGGGAAGCATACACTGGCTTGTCCCTCCCCCTCTCCCCATCTCCATGTTCTTAGACCGTGTTATACCTATCTGGATAAATCTAACAAGATAAGACTGCTTAAACAGGAAGGGGAGCTGAAAAAGTTGTATGTGAGAAAATTTAGATCACATATAGGGAAAAATCAGTTTCTTTGGACATCTGAGGGGCTAGTGTGATAAACACTAGACTCCCATACATGTAAGAGCTTATTAGGGATTTCTAAGTGTCAGTGAGCACTCTGTACATGTACAATTGAATTATTACAACTCCTAGACTAAATTAACAAACTATGTCGAGTACAAAGCCTACCAGAAAGTAAAGGGCTGATGAAGGACAGTGACCTGTGACTGGGCAGAGAACATCGCGGGAGACCTGGTGACAACACGAGCCTACACAGACTGTTTCCTTCAACAGATAGTGGATCAGCACCTGCCTCTGCTCATGCGAGACTTTCCACAGGCCTATCCCTACAAGGCAAGAACCTTCTGCCTGCCTAACTGCTAGAATTCCAGAACCGCAATGTGGCAGGTGCATTGGATCAACCCTAAGAAGCAAACCTCCTAGGGCAATGAGTGACGTCCCCTAGTGGCCGAAGGTGAAAACTTCACCCAGCACCCAGGTTTAGTAGCATAAGAGAGCCTGGGAGTTTCATGAAAAAGATGTTGGTCAGAGATAGGACAGATCCAGATTTTCTGAGTGAAATTTATAAAATCTGGAAGCTCTCCTTAAGAAAAATAATGCAGAAAAGCCTTACTTTTGCAACTTTTACAATAGTAGTCAAAGATTTGACCACATTATTAAATGAGCCCATCTCCCAGGGCATGAAAGTGAAAGTCCCTACCAGGACTTGTACATGTGAAGGGCTTTGAAGCTTAACATTAGCAGGATGGTAATCTTCCTCTGAGAGAGACCTCGGTCTCTTCTTGGGGAGTGGTGTGTCTAGGTGAGACTGGTGCTTGACCACAGAGCTAATGGCACAGTTAGGAAACAGCTCTGCATGCCAGGAAGTGAGGAAAGTTCGCTTACACCCCAAGAGAGGCCTGTGCAGAGCAGTGAAGACCATTCAGCCTGTAAAAGAGATTATGAAGACAAGACATATGAAGTCTGAGGTCAGGAGAGCCCCCTTGGTATTTAGATACCAACCAAGCAGACATAGAGGAAGAAAATCTGAAGGGCTGAACATTTACCCAAATACTCAAACTGAGACACCCTAAAGAAATAAGTTAGAGCAGCAAAAATATGTCTGGTGGGACAGCTCAGTTTTTTAAATCTCTGATACTTAGAGAATGGGGGTAGGGGAGTGAGGGACAGAGAAAAGGCTGGTGAGGCTGATTAGATCTCTCATAAGAACTACAGGTAGAACATCTTCTTGCATAATTTTCACTTGATAGGGTAAATTTGTGACCACTCCACTGCTCAGAATCTCTAAGGGTTTATGCATTTCCTTAGGAACACATCCACAGTGCTTTAAGCTAACAGAGGAGGGCTTCTTTTGGCTTCCCATGATCTCGCACTGCTTACCCCTCAACCTCAGCTTCGGCATCTTGCCCTTCCTGGCTCCTTCCGCCGCAGACCTACCTGCTGGACCTTCATTTCTCTAACACACTACTTTCTCACCACTGTTTCCTCAGCCCTGAACATTCTCACCTTCCTCTTTTCATTGACTGACTCTTCACTCTATGCTCTAACATCCCCTCCTTAGGACACTTCTTGGATCTGTTACATTTAGTCAAATCCTTTTGAATAACTGCTACAATAAAAAAATAGGAGCTGAAGCTCTTTCATAATTCAAAAATAGTTCGGGTCTATAGGAATACAGCAGGGAAAAAGACCTCTAGACCCTTTCTGGATTCAGGATGTAAAGTTGGTAGATTTTTTGAGGCCAAGTTTACCAAACCCTGATAGGATTATTTGTGGATGTGGATTTGGTAATTACATTCCTCTACCTCAAACATCTGCTCTTCATACCTGTGGTGTCATTGCTTATGAACTGAGCAGGAGGATCTCCAATCTCCAATTCAACTGTGAGTCCCAGAGATCTCTTCCTCCGTAGATTCTCCCCTCGTGTTATTTGGCTGACACGGATTTTGTCACTTGGTATCTTTAGGAACAAGGCAAGATTCCTAACCAGATTTTGAGAGCTATAAAAGTCATCTTCTGTAACAACAGGTAATTGGAAAGAAACAAATATGACTGCAGTGGTGTGGATTTCAACAGGTATATTTCCTTTAACCAAAAGGTAGAGCATCTGCTGGGTTCTGTCAAAGTAGTTTTCCCCAAAGACAGTGGAATTCAGGTTAGGAAGGAATTTTCCTATGGAGGAAAAAAGCCAAAAGAGCACAGGTAAGCATATTTATATTACCAAAAATACCATGCCTTATTTAATATTTGTTTAAGTTTGGGAAATTATGAAAAAGTTCAACATTATTATTCTTTTATAGGAAAGCATGCATACTAAAAACAAAAACACTTATAGAACTGACACAAAATTAAAGCCAATCCTTTAAATAATACCATTAATAATCATGCTGCATCAAAAGTATTTTTTAAACAATTAGGTATAGATACAGCACAAATGAGAAATAAAATCTAATTATGAATCCAGGAGCCTCTACTTGTAGCACTATTCACATGCTCAGAATTTTTAAAGCCTTGACTGAAGGCATTTGGTAATTTCAAAATGTAAATTTAACTTTAATAGGCATCTCATTTACACAATGCTATATACTAATTCTTAAGGAGAATCTACAGTTGAGTGTTTTTATTTTTACCAAGGACAAAAATATGTAATACAAATGAAGTATATATTAAAACTCCCAGAAAGATCTTATACCAATAAAACAGGTTTACATTTCAACCTGCAAAATCTTTGGTTAATGCAAAACAAATTCTTCGAGGGAACAGAATTTTGTAAAAGTGACTAAAATTATTATACATATAAAATGAAGAGTATATATATGATTTTTTGGCAGAGAATCAACAATGTCTAAGAGATAATAAATCCACTAACACATACCGAGCCTAGAAAAAGGCTGAATTGTATAACAACACTGGAATGAGATATGTAGCTTTTTACCACATTTCATAGTGAGGCTTATTAGAAAAAGAAATTAAGTTTTAGAAAGAAGAGGGTATTTCTTGTGAATGTAATCGATATTCACAGCAATGGCATTAAGATGCCATTTCATTATTACTATATATTTCTTTAATATGTACTTGTATAGGTTTTAGATGCTATTTGGTTTAAACATTCTATGAATTTGTAGAATGGGCTTTTTTATTATAGATTGAAGCTGGTCTCAAGCTACTCTTAGTGGTGTATACATCATTTATCCCAGGTAACTTTCTCATGTCTTCACAGTAATGGAAGGGAGCAAAGACACATGCGATAAAAAAACATTTTGGGTAATCTAAAATTATATGTATGGATTCATAATACAGGGATTTTATTTTGCATTCCAAGTGGCAAAAATGTTCATTTAAAAGCAGTGCTGTATCTGAGACCATGAAATTTATAAGAGGGCAGTGGTGATATTGTGTTTTTCAGCTCTTTGACACCTGTGAAACCAGTTCCCTATATTAAATTTTGCCTGTTGAGATAGTTTCTATTTTCCTGATTGAATGATAGAGTACTTGGTGGTGTTTTAAAAAGGAATTAAAATTCATGAAAACTAAGCTGTAAATATGTGCGATCACTTGCATGTAGAAGTGGTAACACAGATTGTCTTAGCTTATAAGAAGGCAGGATAACAACACGGGTAGGCGCATGGCTTCTAGAACTGACTCTGGTCCAGTTCTTGCGCTGCCCTTAACCAGCTTTGACATGGCTATGGACTGAATTATGTCTACACCCCACCCCCTCAGTGCTGCATGTGTTGGAGCTCTTTGCCTTACAAGAAGAGACAGCAGAGAACTGCTGTTAGCTGCTGTCCCTCTGCCATGTGGGGAGCCCTCGAGAGGGTGGCCATTTGCAAGCCAGGAGGAGAGCCCTCACCAGAAGCTGACTACGTTGGCACTCTGATCTCAGACTTGTAGCCTCCAGAGCTGTGAAAAAGTAATTTTCTGTTTTTAAGCCACCCAGTTTATGGCATTTTGTTTTGAAAGCTTGAGCTAAGATAGAGAGCTTGGCAAATTATTTCCCCTCTGTGTCTCAGTTTACTCATCTGTACCAACCTCAGGGTTATTATTAGGAAGTAGTAACAATGAGTTACACACAAAGCACTTAGAATGGTGCTTAGCACAGAGAAATGTTTCTGGAAATATTAACTATTCATATTATTAGTAGAAATAGGACTTGCTCCATAGATGGTAATGAATATGGGTTATCCATTCATACTCTCATTTCTAGCTAATATTATTATCTATAGCACACATTTATATAATTGTTAGCCCAGATCCTGGGGCACATCTAAAAATGATAAGTAGCACATGTGGAATGGAATGTACTGGCTGTTTAGTACCCCATTTAACAAAAGGACTTTAATGAGCAGACTTAAATTTCAGTTTTGCAAATATTGGTAAATGGTAAATTTAGTCTCTTTCATTTAAATTCAGAGTTTATTATGTTTATTCATGGTATTCAACTGATGTCATATTAGCTTTCTTGGCAATACTTCTGGTGATTACCAATTAATTTAGGCTCTGACTTCTAGGAATAACTGAATAGGTAGACTGTAAATGTCCTCAGGGGCAATGTTCTCCATTATACACAAAAACTTGTATCTGCATGTGAGCAGATAGATAAAGAGTTTTATCAAGAGTGATCTTTAAGGACATGTTATAAATGAACATATCTTAGTGTTTGGTAGACTATGACTAAAAACTTATTTTCTCTTGCATTAGTCAATGACTAAAGAACTAAAAATATTAATAAGTATTACAAAGGATTTTACATGTAATTAAGCACATATACAACATGTACTAGATTTTTCTGGAGAAATACCTGTGTACTGATGTCTATTAAGTTCACAGCATCTCTGTTGGGAATTCCATACAGTATTTTTGGGGCAGACCAGAGCATTGTTCACATAGACATCCAACCGCTGAAGTGTGGGGAAAAAAATTCCTACCAGAACAGCCTGTAAAAAAATAAACAACATTTACGTATTTTAAGGGAAAAATGACATAATATTTAGAATATAGCACTTAAAAAATGTTCTTCAACTATATATACCTTCTGTAAAATATTAAAACTAAGTTTTATGATTTAGTATAAATATTGAGCTAACTTTCTTGTTGCTTAACAATATCCTTTATTAATGGATACACCTGTTTTCCAACAATAAATACCACTGCTCTGGACATACTTTTATTTACACAAATGTGTAATATATCTATAAGATACTGATCTAATTAGGTGGAAATATGGGAGGGAAGATTTAAACCCAGGTCTGTCTGACCTCAAACACAGCTCCCACACACAATACCCCATTGCTTAGGAGGGCAATGAGGTTTCTCAGGGTATACATTATAACCTGACATTCTGGTTTGTTCAGTATTGTGGGGAATACATTAGTCCACCCAGGAAATATTTATTATATCAATTATATCTTCCAAGTATCAAGTTGATGATGGGTGCAATGGTGAGCATATGGATATTTTTTTAAACGGACTTATATTCAACCATTCATAGAGACGTTACAACTTAACTGATGATTCTCAGTAGAAAAATATAGTGTAAAAAAGAAATGATTACAAGAGCTCTCTAAATTTAAAAAAAAGGTTCCTTTTAAAGATTAATAAAGTTTAATATAGACTTTCAACTCCAGGGTACTGGGAAACAAGGAACGTAGTGTGTTCTGTATAATCCAACCACACAAAATTAGGTACTTAATGTTGAAAAAAATGTTTATCTCTGAGAAAAATTTGGTAGTTAGACTAATAAAAATCCATCAAAATAACCATCCTCTTTGATTCAATTTTGTTCATTTTTTCACGCTTATACTCCCCACATCTCATGCTAGCAGATATAATTACAAAGTAAGGGGACTGACCTTCAGAAAGGCAGTGAAGAATTGGTAAGGACTCTAATAAGCTAACTGTACATAGTTTAGGAATCCTCTTTTGAAACTATCTCAGAGGCTCAGAATATTAACAGTCACATGACTTTGTAGTTATTATTATTTTTAAAATTAAAAAACATTCTCTTTCATTCAAAAGTCTAGGAGCTGTCAAAAGTCCCTGCTCTTTAAGTTTACATTCTTGTGTGAGAAAAGAGACAATAAGTAATCAGAATACTAAAAAGTAAAGCATAGAGCATGTTAGAAGGTGATAAGTGCTACGGAAAAAGAAAAGAAAAGGTAGATCAGAGTAGGAGGGAGTACTTGGCAGAGCAAAGGGGGGAGGGGTGGTCAGGGGAGGGCTACTGAGGGAATGGGAGCTGAGGAGGTGGGGCAGTTAGCCACTTAGGGCAGAATGTTCCAGGCCGACTCAACATTTGAAACTCAAGCTCTGATGAGAGCCTGTGTGAGGTGCTGAGAAATAGCAAGGAGCCCAGCATGACTGGAGAAGTAGAAGTCAGAGAGCTAAGGATGTGAACACGTCGGTTCTTGTACAGACGGGTGGGGAAATCGTTGTAGGGTTTGGGGCACAGGAGTGACCTGGTCTGACTTTTATCTTGAAGGTAACTCTGTGGCTACTGAGGTGAGAACGGACAAGTGGGTGTGGATAAAATGAGAGTTCCTGTGGCCAGGATTCTCACCTGGCCATGGTTGACTAGCTCACTGCACACCTGTGGGCAATACATGGCTGTTGACTCAAAGAGCTCTGCCCAGTGCTTTGGGCGACACAGTGGCAGGGCTGCAAGGCTGCAGGAGAGCAGAGCAGAGGCTGTAGTGGTGGCAGCACAGAGCACAGAGAACAGAGGCCCAGAGGATGGCTGTGCGGGGCAACTATGCAGACAGGCTCGAGGACAGCTGTGTGGGATGACTGTGCAGAGTCTCAGAGGACGGCTGTGCAGACAGAGGGGCCCAGAGGCAGAGACTGGCTTGCTGCCTGCTGACTCGCTCTGAGTGAACGGGATTCTAGTGACTGACCTGCCACTGTGAGATTAAACCTGGGTATAACCCTTTCACCCCAAGAACGTTTTGCTGTCAATTTCTTTGGTCACACTGAATCCATAGCAAACTTGCCCGGGGCTGAAACCCATTGGCCAGACAGTGGGGCAAAGGTGGGGCAGGAGGAGGAGGTGAGGGGCCACTGCCTTAATCCAGGGAAGAGATAATGTTGGCTCAAACTAGACAGGAGCAGTGGGGGTGTTGAGAAGTGGTCAGGTTCTGGGTATTCTGAAGGGAGACTCAACAGGGTTTTCAGGTGGGTTGTATAATGAATGTGAAAGAAAGAACAGAATCAAGAATGGCTCCAAGGTGTTATCTTGCTCAGCTGAGAGGATGGGGTTGCTGTCTGCAAAGGGACAGGTGTCTTCTCTCCTTACACCTCTCTCTGCTTCATTCTATCAGTGTCCTTTCTTCACATTCCTGATATTCTGAGCCTTTCAAGTCTCATAATCTCAGAAAATAAAATCCAAATTATGAGATTACTGCTTTACTTCACCCTTTTTTCTCACTGACAAAGTATACATCATTCCAGCTGAATTCAGTTTATAGCAAAGATTTGACACAGTTGAAGATATTTAAAATAACAAGCTGTGATCTCTGAGGTGATTTCTCACACACACATATAAATATTAGCAGCATGATAGAATAAATATATAATTCCACTGACCAGTTTTGGATATGCACTATTTTTACATAGAAATTCGGGTTTATTTACTAATCACACAAATTATAGGCACTGTCATGCCTCAGATATAAAGCAGCAGAACCAAGCATGTAGGGAAGAGATGTTTGGTACTGTATATGCTCTCAGACTGATGAAAAAGGTCTGGACTAATAGTATTTTTAATAGTACTTGATGATCCTTGAAAATGAGCTGTAAGACTGACAATGTTCAAGAAAAAGGGGGAGGAGATAAAGTCTTTAGCAGATAGAAATATATGTAAAATAACCAACACCAATAACTCTTAAGAAATTATTTCTATCTTGCCTTACCTTGTTATGGTCAACATTAAGCAACATCAGTCGAAGATTCTGAGGACTGGTGCCAGTGAAGTAAACTTCATAAGGTTTGTTCAGAGCTACAATACTGTGAAATAAGGAAAGTCTTCTCTGGCATGTGTATCCAGCACACCAGCCATGATCTTGTGGGCCTAAATCCACATAAAATGAAAGTTCATGTCCCATATTATGAATATTATTTAGTGCAAAGTCTGAAGAGTAATGGTGTTAAACTTCAGTGATGAAGTTTGGCCTTTACATCCAATATCCATCCACCCATCTATCCAGTGATCTAAGCTATTTCTCAAACCTTGACCTAAAAAGGAAGGCAGGGAAGCAACTCCTTCCTACTACCCTTACGTTTTTGCACTTCTCAGGGTAAGAGGGTAAATTAATGTGCCGAGGGTTTGTACTGAAAGGTTATTGAGGGAAACAGGAGATTTACATGGTTCTCTATTTTAATAATTATATTTAAGCCCAGGCCATATGGTGAGGAAGAAAATGCTTGATCCTACCTATCAAATGTGAACTTGGGTGAGGAACCAACTTAGACTCTTTGCTGAGAAATAATCTGTAACAGAGTTAATTTGTTAAATACAGAGTCTAGATTTGAAAACATGGACATCTGTATGGCTGAAACATTGATGCATCAATTCTTTCACTCACTCATTTGTTCATCAGTTAATTTGTAAATTCAACAAACTCTTAAGTTTGCTTTTTATTTATTCTCTAATTTCCTCCACTGTTATTTTAATAAATTTCTGTTTTAGACTGTGATTGGTATCATTGAAGGGTCAACATCATTAATGAGCTGTAGCAATCTGAAAGATAACAGTCCAGTAAACCCTTAGAAAGCCAAAAGCCAGTGGAGGCTTTTCTACCTGAATTCAGACATTTGCAGAACACGTGTAACATGACTTTTGTAGCAAACTTGTTTATTTCACTTCAGTTTTAAAGTGCCTGGGATTATACATACATAAAACACTGAGATGTGGAATGATGAATTTTCTTGATCTATCTAGTCATTGGTTTTGCTCAATTTCCTGGCTTACTTGGAATTTTGATGAATATTTACAATGGAATTTCAATCAAATTTTAAATCAATATACACTTCTGAAGCTGAAATAGAGCAAAAACTTTCCCTTAGCATCCAAAACATAAATCCTACTTTTAAATAAACCTTCTTTGTGGGTTTTGAAACAGAAATTTCTATGTAAAAAATGAAAAATTTAGAGTGACAAAACCCATATTTTACAAATAAATAAAATTGAGTATTAAAATGTAAAAGGAAACTTTGGGTATTCAATAACTTTTTTTTGGGTATTCAATAACTTTTATCTCATAAATTTTTTTTCCTAATTAGTGTAGTGTATCCCAAGCATCATCAGTGATTTTTTAACATCTTCATAATCTCTGAACTACTACTACTCTTTACTTAAGGCTTTTCTTTAAATTGATAGTCACTTTTTAAAATATGAATTTATTATAAAGAGAAATGCCATGTCACTATTGTAAATGGAAAAGTTGGATTGTCTTTATGGAAGTGTAAAAAAAAGATAAAATCTTTCTCTGCCATATAAAGCAACCTGAAAACATCTCCATTTTCACTGACTGGTCTAAAATTCTTCCCACAATCTCTCTGCTTTATAAGATTTGAAAGTCATCATTTGAAACTGGATTGATTGCTGGCTATACCAACCAGGACGATTGTGTATTGGGGGAAAAACAGGGGAAGAGACTTGAAATCATGTAAATTTAGGACACTCCTGATTTAGCTCATTCTAGTTTCTTTAACATGTTTTTAAAAATGAATATTTTTGTAGGGTATTAGCTATTTTGTTGAATCTTAGAATATTTCAGTACATGATATGATACTGCCAGGGCACAGAAATCTTTCTGATCCACGTTATGTGTCCCTGCAGCACTTGAAAGATTCTTAAGCATTCTTAGGGACGAATGTTTGAGCCCCCAGTGCTATTTCAGGGTTAGAGAATGTTTTCCGGCCCCCTGTTTCAGTAGTTTTTAGAAGTTGATTTTATTTATTCAAGAAGTCCTGGATTCCTAAGTGAATCTGAATTTTTAGGGAGACCATTGCCTTTTCTCTGTGCTAGAGCTGCCCATGACAAGAATGTAAGGAACCTAGACTCCGGAGCTTGACAAAATGTTCCTGAAAGTCAAAAGAATCAGAAAAACAAAAACAAAAACAAAAAGACACCACATTGTTTCAAGATTAAGTTTGCAAAGATTCATGAAAATTAATAATGAGTAGATTAAGACTACTTGTTCTCAAGTATTCCAAGTAACATATTATTAGTTTTTAATTTATGTAAGGCAAGTTGTCTTTTTGGAGACACGTACCTTTTCTTAAAAATATATATGCCACTTTATCAATATAGGTATGAAGATTACTCAAGGATTAACCTTCCTCTCCCCCTTCTTATGGTGGATTTGGAATAACCGACCTGGCTTTCTAACATGGTGAAATGCTGAAGAGTCAAGTATCTCTTCAGCACACAGATCTTTCTTACAAACAGATAGCAAAGAAACCGTGATGTTTGCTAGTTTTATGTGATAAACTTACCAAATGTCTCCGTGCATTTAATAAATAGTGAATGCTTTAGTAACACTACTTTGTTTACACTGAATACCTACCATTAATGAGATCAACATAACCATTGCTCACTATTGCCACCGGTGAGAGCCTGCGGGTTTCTGTGTCAGAGTCCAGGCTTTCAATGGCCATCATTGCATATTCCATTCCAAAGCATTGATAACTCTGCCATTCTGGGATGTATTTACAGGTTGGATCTCTAATAATTCCTAGAAACATAGATATACATACATTTTAGCAATGAAAATGACTCTCTTTGCAAAAATATCCATATACGATCTTTTTCTTGTTATGTAAGATTAATAAAAAGAAAATATGTTATTGGTTGGGTATATTAGTAATTACAAATAAAAGATATATTTTATTTCACAAACTTGAGAACTAACAGTAACATCCAACAAACCTTTATAAGGTGCTTTCTCAGTGACAGGAATTCTACTTCCGTTTGGGAATGTGAGCATCACCTTAGGAATTCTGTAGTCTCCAATTCCAAATTGGCTATTTCCATTCCATTCATATTCTGCTTGGGGAATCACAGAACCAGAATTCCCCAGAAAGGAGCCATCCATATCTTTAAGAAGAGATTTCCTCTTGGCATCACAAACCATGTCTATACAATCAGATGGATTCACTTTACTGTGGAGAAATGGCAAAATGTATAATACTTAGATTTAGTATCCATCCCCTGTTTCTAAAAAGCATTTGAATACACTTGATATTTGATAAGAGAGAAGCCCCCCCAATTTTTTTGACTGGCTGAGTCTTATCATTTCATAAAGAATTCAGAGGTGAACCAAGGAGCATATGTAATTAGCATTGTAATAAGGTGTGTTTTTCCATTGCATTAATTTGGTCTATTATTATGAATTAATTAACATTTCAGTAGGAGAAGTTATACATGTGGGACATAGCATTAGAATTCCACTTTGATATCCCATATTTTCTTGAATGATAGATTTCATATTCATGCATTGCTTACAATGCACTAACACTGCCACATTGAGCAGGTAAACACTCTATGCAGAACATACAAAATTCCTGTGTTGGCAGGGAAGTCTTTATTATTTTTCTGTCCCTTCTCTTTGTTTTTAATGGGTTTTAAAGAATTATAAAGCTTTGTATGCTTATTATAAAATAGTCTAAATACTTAATAAAAGTTCAGTCCCCTTTGTCTACCTATTCTGGGTTCTTAGGCTCAATACCAAATGCAGATTAGTCTATATTCTTATAGATTATTGCCTATGTCTATACAAATAGATATACTTGGATTATGACTCATGCTACATATAGAAACCATTCTGTAGATACCTAAACTGTAAGAAATAGAATACTATAAACTCATCATGCAGTTCAACCATAGATGGTATTCTGCCTTTATCTTGAGCCACCTGGAGTGCTGATTATTAACTGGTTATAATAATAAAATAGCTGTTTAATTTACAGTGTATTACACATTATATAGTATACATGACATACAGTATACTTGTACTATATCATGATAGACACTGTGGGGAAAACATAATTTATTCCAGAGTTAGAGCAACAAAACAATAGTGGAAAGCTCAGATCTTTTAGAGAGCATTTAATATATCTCTCCCTTTGTTCTGTAAGAGAGGCATGAAGCTATTAAGTCATCCCTTACTACACTGTAATCGTTTAGGAGATGGTTTGAATAAATGTCTTAGCTCGCATGTGTGCTGTGTTCAAGCATGTGCAGAGTGAGCAAGTCTGTGGGTGCAGGGCCAGTGGCACACTCATACCATGGCTTAGGGCTCTGTGCTACTTCAGTTTCAGAACCTCAGGTATGGATTTTTCTTCAAGTGAGTTATTGAGGGAGTCCTGATAGAAGGGAAGGCAAGAAGCCATATAGGGTGAGCGAAAGAAAAGGGCAATGACTACGGTCTACAGACTAGCTTCAGTCTCATCCCAGGGGAATGTCTGGCTCATGAATTGCACCGCAGTTGTTCCCACCTTGAGACAAGGGGGCTGGCCTTCTGTACTCCTGTATTAACTAGTCATTTTCTGGGGATTACAAGGAGGTGGTGGTAGGGAGGGCTTTAGCCTCTCACAGCTACTCATGTTGAGCTAAGAGGAATTTTCTGGAAAAGCAGGCAACTGTAAGTTATTATTGGCCAACATGTAGAGCGTTTGGGGACTGGGTAAGCTGCCTCATAAAAGGCGTCCAGGAGAGTGCCAACAGTATCCCAGTGTAAGCACAGAACTCAGACATTATATTTTACAATGCAATATTTTCTTCATGACCTAGATATTAAAATTATATATTATATCTGAAAAATTTAATGATAACTACATAGGAACTAATAACTTTCTAGTGGGGAGGGGCTCTGTTGAGCCAAAAAACACTGCAATTCAACAATTAATAAATGAAGAGGTATGGGGCTGTCATGAAAGCAAAATTAGATGAAATCAAACTATTAATGGAACATTGCGTTTCTCTGAAGAGATGTCAGTCTAACTAGACAGCATTATTTCTTGTCTTCTCTTTATACTGAAAATGGTCAAAGATCTCTAATAGAACACTTCTTTCCTCCAATATTTCTATATTTAAATTTCTACACCTCTTAGGTAGATTATGTTATTGGCTATATTCTTAAAGACTGAGAGTCTAAGTGGTTCAGCTTCTAGAAATATTCTGATACCAACTGAGCTTTGTGATAGAAAAATCACTGTTACAAGTTTCTACATATTTTCAGACAACGATTATATATAATGACTGACATTTAATTTCCAATGTTGGGGTGTATATGATATTTGGGAAACAACAGGAAACAAAAGAGGTAAGGGAAAGAGAAGAAATAAAAGAGATGTTTCTCACTCCTAATGACTATTAATGGATAGTTACTAATGTACAACACACTTCTAACCTGGCCTCTATCTTTTATGAGTAACAATGCTGTTATTTTGGAAAAAACAGTACAAGAAAATATACATATTAAGCCTAGCTTCTTCAATGTAACAGAAAATGCAGATGCATTAAATAGTCTTAATTTTCATAATGCTGATTAAAATTTATAGAAATCAACAGTTATTTTAATATAGCAACTTTCTCAGTTTTATGACAGGGGAAAAAGGAAATGAAAAATTATGACGGCAGGAAAGAACAAACTGAGTCATCATATATTTTACCTTATATCAGGCCTATGTATAAATATTTTTGATTGTTCAGTAGTATCAACCAGGTGTATGTTCTTCACATGGATTGGATGCTGTAAATCCTCATTTAAAGGGTTAGTAATGAATATCACATTAGTTTCACCTGAACAAACATTCTTAAATCCAACAAATGTTGACCCTAAAACACAGAAATAATTATTTTTTATAGAGAAAATGGTAAAGTGAATTTCATTTCATGTTCATTTCAGCAAATACATCATTTAATACTACCTTGAATATGAAACTCTTCCCTTATGTGGTAGATAAAGCCACCACTATCAGTGGTAGATTGTTGCTTCCCTGTACCAGTACCATTGAGCAGTCTGCTCCTGTATTTTCTCTAGGGTTGGCCATGCTTTGGTCAATGGGACAAGAGCAATTGTGGTATAAGCAGAGCTGAAAGGTGCTTGTGTATCAGGGCTTGCTCTCTTTTGATGCTCTTGGGGAATTCTGTAACTTACAGCATGTGAATAAGCCTGGGAGATACGTAGCTCAATCACTCCCATCATAGCCAGTGGCCAGCCCCACCATCAGCAAGCACCCACCAGCAGACATGGAAGTGAGGCTGTCCTAGACTAACCAACTCCTATCCATCCTATAAAACAGCAGCCTAATGAATAATCCCTGGTGAGACCAGCAGAAGAACCATCCAGTGTAACAAAGCCCAAACTGCCAATCTACAGAAGTATGAGCTAATAAATGGTTTTTTAAAGGCTCTGTATCTTTGGGGGTAGTTTGTTATGCATCAAAGGCTACCTGAAACACTATTATTCCCTTGGCCTTATTGCATGTATTGTGTAGCCAAAAGATAAAATTTATTGGATCTAAAACTTAATTTCCATTGTACTTAAAATCCAGTAAGTCAAGATTAGAAATAAAACAAAAGGTGAGTCCAAAAATTCTTAAATCAGTTATGTGCTATCTACTACACTTCTTGATTATATTTTTTTCCTAAGAAGATATTGTATATATATGAATATGAGCCTGCAGATGAGTATATACCACAGTAGCAGACACTGTAACATGTATATACGTCCTTTGGCCTAGTGCACGCATCCTTAGCTCCTGGAAGTGCTGGCTGCTAACTACTCACAGCTTCCCCTTTCTCGGGAGAATTGCCCTTGATCACCTGACGGCTTCCCCTCCCAAGAGATTATGCATTCCTCAGCACTACCACATAGGGGTAGCCATGCCTGATTGCTATAGAAAGACCCCTGGCATAAGGGGGGAAAACTAAGTGGTGCAATTTGTGTTGCATAGCTGAGGTATCAAGCTGGAGCTAGACTCCATCTGAGACCAGATCGTGACTTAGCTCCTTCCTCTGCCCCATCCTACTTCCTTTACTCCCTTTCTCTTGAGAACATACCTTCAATAAACAATTTGCACAAGAATCCCACCTCTGCCTTTACTTTAGAGTACCTGATTTGGTACCAGAAGTAGTCCAAGGATACACCCTATAAAGCTGCAATAATGAATTTACATCGCTTACTGCGTAGATGGGAATGAGGATGCCGTTAATGGTGGTAGTTGGAGTATTGATAGTCCCTAGCATGCTGTTATAGTGCAACTGTTAAAGACATCACCTGTGGTGAAGTGGGATAGTATCTGTGTAAAAGGAGATGCTCTGACTTAGTGGAAGGGGGAAATAGTAGTTACAAGGAGACCAAAAGTAGGTGGCTATTGTTGACCATCACTGGTACTTCGAAGAAAAAAAATGTAAGCTATGCTGATCAATCACAAATTTAAAAAAAACCTCAAGAACCAACCACAAAACTAGCAGAGCATTCATAGAAGCTTCAATTATCAGCCCTGGCAAAGTCTTCTATATCAAAGACACGACAGAACAGGAGCAGGACCCTGAGTTAGGATGGTGAAGATACACTTGAACCTTGAAACCTCAGATTCACCTTGAATGTTCTAGATCTGTAAAAGTGGTCTACTTCTCCCTTAGTAGAGGGTAGCTCTCCTGCCCAACTTACTGAGATCATGAGGGAGACCTCAAAAGAGGCAGTTGGCTTATAAGTAAATCTTGTTTTTCTGTCCCCATTTCCTTTTCTGGAAAACAGAGCAATTACTGGGGTCAAGTCTCAACATGGCCCACAGGGGAAATGGTAGGCCTGCTATGGGATAAGTGGAATTACATGCAAAGGAGCTGCAGGGTGTGACCTACATGTACTGGCAGGAATCAGGAGTGCACATCTGGGAGTAAATTGTAATGGTTTTGGATCAAGGGGGCCAGAATATAAAGTTGTGTAAGAAAGAGTGTTAACGTGGGTGGGGATATTCTCTCATGATGGCTTTTCAAAGCTTGGGAAAAATAATGGTCTACCTTAAATGAGGTACAATTGTGAGAAATGCAATAGCAGACTACAGAAGAAGGGATCAAAAGTGTCTGAAAAATGGGCATACTGGAATGCTACTAAAAAAATGATGGCTGGAGATGATGACTATCATTTTCGGTCTTGGGACCAGCTTCTGCAGTGTGACCACTAACCTTCTTTTTGTAACTTTTCCCAGAAATTGTGACCAATGAAGATCTTAGAGAAATCACATCTTGGTGGAGTAAACTTACTACAACTAAATGAAAGAAGCAAGTGGCATCAAGTGGTCTGAGCAATGCATTAAATTGGATACAAGCTAGCACACCCATCTCCATCCCTGTGGGTATTGACTGCTAGCAGCTCAGAGCTGTCCTCTTTCCCAGAGACTTAGCCTTGGTTGTACAGAAGTCACATCACTTAGGAAATTAAGGGGGTCCCCACAAAGGCAGATGTAATCATAGCTGTCCAACATGAGGGTACAAATGGCCACCCCCCACCTCAAATGTGAGATCAACTTGGTGGCAATTTACATTCCAGGGCTCTCAGTGGGATCAAGTGAAACTAGTCACCAGCTTACACCACATCCCTGCTTAGCAACTTCCCTTGTCCTGTTAGGCTTCCTTAGCTTCCTTTCTCCAGAGAGAATTTCTTCAAGAAAACACTCGCTTAAAAATCCTCATCTAAGGCTCTGCTTTTAGGGAACTTAGCCAAAGACAACCATCATTCATATATTATCTTCTAAGAGTATGTCTTATAAAAGAAGGTATTTGTATCCTTTTAATAAATTTTATATATAAGATTCTATTTCATAAGGATATTTTTGTTCTTACCTGGTATTTATAATAGTCTAGGACACAATTTTTTAATTTAAAGCAATATATGTTCAACTAAAACCTCTGTTGCACATTTAATAATTTTTGGCAAGGGTTTCATCATTACAAATATCACTGAAAAATAATGATAATTTTTTTGCATTTTGGGAGTTAGAAGTTGTGGGAAATATGTCAAAACTTAGATGTCTAAGCTATTGAACTTCAGTCTTTGAGGAGATGATGGTTAAAATTATGAAAAGGAGACTTGCTAAAATGAAATAGAGAATGGCAGTATGCTTAACAAGCAAAATGAAAATAACTAATATGTTCACTACATTAATTTGTATGCAATTGTTTTATATTTTTAAGGAGGCAGGCTGGCTCAGTGAAAGAACAGTGGATTTCAAGTCAAAATATCTTGATTCTAATCCTAACTATGCCAACAGCTGTTCTTCAAGGGTGAACTCTATAACACTATGTATATAAAAGGGATTTTATAATTTATAGAAACTAATTAATATTAAATCACTATACCAGTGTTCTTTCTGTTGTTTTAGAAGGAAAATTGAATATCAATTCTTTAATAAACATTAATTTCCTCTGTATGAATATATAGGAACCATTATTGAAATTGACTCTGATGTTTGACTGCTTGTCATATTAGGCGGATTCATATACAAATTCACTGAAATCATTTTTTATTAACAATGAAACATTACTAGTTACACTCTACATATTCTTTATAGAACTTAATTGAGTAGATTTGTCAAAGCCTATGTTTAAACTTGCCTGAGATGTCCAAAAGACCACTGATGGCATTGTAACTCATGATCCCTGCATGCGGTTTCCGGGGTGCCATGTTATGTGCTGAAGCAAAGGTAGGCCAGCAAATTCCACTTCTCCCACCTATTATAAAAAGAAGAGAGTTAATGAAATTTGAATATGCAGTCATGTGAATGCCAAAATTAAAGTTCTAAAACTTTCACCTGATGGAGGTCTAGAACTCCGATGAGCAGCAGAAAGTTCAATATTGGGATCATCATTAGTTAGGACATCAGAGCAGTTAAATTCAGGGCTACTTCCAACAATTAATGAGCTCTATTAAAAAATTCAAACAGTAAGCTTTGATAATAGCTTTCCCTAAAGGAAACCATAATAATGGATAATACTGAATTCTACTGCAACAGAACACAATCTATTAGTTTGAGAAGTGGATCATTCATAAAACTGAGATGAAAAAGATGTAATTTCTGCCTTGAGTGGAACGAATGATACTCAGTGCAGGAGGGGGAAGACAGGTAGGTAAATAATTATATATAGTGACATGTTATATTTCTATGAAGGAAATATGTCCAGGGAACAGTAGGAACAAAAAAATGAGGGCATGTCAATCCCAACTAAGCTGGTTCAGGAAGGACATCAGAGAGGAAATGAAATTTAACCAACTGTGGCAAGATTGGAAGGTGATAAGCAAGAATAGGTGAGGAAAAAAAGGAGAAGGTAGGGTGGAAAGCTTCTTGGTAGAAGACAATGAGAGCAAAGACAGGCGGTTTGGACCAGCTTTGCGTAGAAGTCAAAGAGATTGTTCTCAAGACTTTCACTAATTTTACCCCCGTACATTTGTTCTTTCACCTTATTGTGGCTGTATTAATTTCTTACCTTAATTTGTACTGTTTTACTGGAAATTTTGTGAGATACAGCAGCTGGCATGTAAATCATTGAAGAAATGGCCATTCCATTGTCAACCAAGGTCACATTATAGATATGTATACTTGACGTGGTCTGTAATACAATTTGTAGGTTATAATACAAACTAGAATCATAAATAAGACAAGCCATCACCATCTTGGATCCCATTTACCTGAAAATAAATTCCATAATCCCAGCATGTCCAAATGGTAAATCCCTGTATAAGAGAACATCCAGGAAGTCCATCTTGGTTCATATAGATTCCGTATAAACCTCCATGGGCTTCATTGTCAAACCACTTATCCATAGGATTAAACTGACCTTGGAAGGAAATGCAGAACCAGAGAATTAGCATTACAAGCCATGCCAAAGTTTTATAAGCAATTAGCAGTTGAAGTTAAAATTCTTTTAAAAATTAAATACAGAATTCTGATGCAAATCTCTGAAGCCATTTACAGCTTACTCTTTTTAGTATTTACTCTTATCTAGTTTGTCCCTTCCCATTACTCAGAATAATTGGATACAATTTGCAAAACTTTGGTTTAGTTACTAGCACCCTTCATTTATTATATTTGATTAAACGAAAACAGGAATTTGATTAGAAGGTACATGAGGTTTGGATTCAAGCAAGGCCAAACTTGAACCACAGTGATACTTCCTTGCTGTTTGTAAAATGCTTCCCCTGCACACCTTTTTGTTGCTGGTTCCTTCTGGTCACCCCATTTTTAAGTTAAGGGTCACTTCCTTAGAAGACCTTCTCTGACTACCTGAGTCAGAGTAGCACTTCAATTACTTTACTTGGCATTTCAAATTATTTTCACTTGATATTTTGTAATTACTTCTTTGAGAATTATCCATCTCTTCTCTCCTATTAGAATGTAAGCTTCATGAGAGAAAACACCATGACTAGCTCCTCCACCACCATATTCCTAGAGCCTAGAAGACAGGTGCTCATTAAATATTTATTGAATTAATGTATGCATGATCTTGGGAAGCTATTTAACCTTTTAGAACCTAAGTTTCCTTATACAAAAACGTTTTGATGCCTAATTCAGGATTGTTTGAAAACCAAATTAAATAACCCATATGAAGTGCCTCAATAAATGGAGGCTCTGCTCATTATTAATATACAGGATCATTGAAGTAGATTTTTATGAAGGTTTTACTTATGTTATGATCAGAGAGGAACCTTAATAACTTCCTCCCAATCATGCATAAATTGAGGATTCCCTAAAAAGAGCAGTACCACCTCCAAAATTGTACTGAGGAGTAGCTCTCTTGTCCATGTCCCCTTGTATGTGACTTCCTCCTATCCTCCATTAATTTTCCTTTCTTCCTGATACTTTGGGACTGAAATTTTACCTATGGGCTGCCTGGCTTCTATTCTGTTTCCTCCATGAGAAGCTGTATGTATGTCTCTCCCTTGATTCCACACAATGTTGCCGCCTGGACCCAGTGTGGTCATAGCTCCCTTCCCAGCATCCCAGCGTCTCCCTTGTCTGGGAGATGGCCTAAATAAGCAGATGACCCATTCCAGGAGCTTTAGTTAACCTCAATTGCTCCATGATGTCTCATATTTCAATTTCTTTTAATTTAAAACCTTCTGATAAACACTTTCAATTTAGGAATATCAATACAGTTAGTGAAAATGCATTACATGGTGTTATACATATAAGTAAATATTCATACTCACTGGCCACATTTTAATTTTCAGAACACTACAACACCTCAAAGATTGCACAGAAATGTCATATTTAAAAATTTTAATTCAAAGAAAAGCCACTTTGAACTGTTGGGAAGTAAAATATTTAATAAAAGCACACACCAAGGAATCAATTAAATTTGTTGGCAGTTACTTTATTTCTTCAAAATGTATTTGCACAAGAGTGCTGATTCAAAGAATCCTAAAAATACCCTCACAAAGATAAAAAAAATCAACTGCACAAGACATACAGTTTTCTGAGAATATCCCTTATCTTTTTACTAAGTTTCTCAAGAGGTAAGGCCAGCAGCTGTATTATTTATTGTACTTTTTTGATCTGATAATTCATTTACCTAGTAGAAAAATAAGGAGATTAGAAAAACTATTCAATATTAAGTCATCAGGCACCCTGTTTCCACTCACCTTCTATGGCTTTTTGTTTTCATACTTCGTGTTTCTTTATGTAGACACAAATATCATATATATTCCCATTTTCTTCTCTTTCTTCCACAAACCATATTATATACAAAACAGTATTATATACCATCCTGCAACCTCCTTTTATCACTTAAAATATCCTGGAACTTTCTCCATATCAAAACATAGATATGTATTTTCTCCTTTTTTAGACCTAGTGCTCCAATGTCTGGCTTTATATAACTAGTTCAACATTATTGGACACAAGGCAGCTTTCAGTTTTCTGCTAGTATAGACAATGCATGATGAATGAACTCATTCACACATCAGTATTTAAGTGTTGTAGAGGCAAATGTTAGTTAGATTACCAAAAGTATAAATACTGAGCTGTACGTAGATGCCCCTATAATTTTGTTAGCTATTGGCAGATGCCCCTTTGTAGGGATCATATCCTTTTGTTCAACCATCGATGTTCCAGTTCCCCTACTGTCTTGCCAAGAGAGTAGCTGTTCAGTTAATTCTTGATTTTTACTCATCTGATAGAAATGTATTGAGAACTGTCTATGTCCTTTTTACTTTTTCATACTTGCAGGTTTTAACATATAAAAAAGGAGCATTTATTCCTTTAAAGCGGAAGCATAAAGAGTGGCATAAACCTATACACATGTATCTCTATGCTTAGAAATGTTGCTTCTGTGAAAGTGGTAGTAGAGTAAGGTACTCATTATTCCAATGCTAGCCAAATCAAGAATTGGTTACTCTTTGAGTTTTTGGGTCATAAACATGGAAAATGGTAATCTTTAAAAGTCTGTCCATATTTTCTTTAGACCCCAATGGTATCTTGAAATAATTTAGCCTGTTTAGTTCTTCCATTATCCAGGAGGAGGAGATATTACATATGAATTGACAAACCACAATTATTTATTTCTAACAAATTTGGACAAGTTATTTCTTAGTCTTAGTGAGTCTGTGGCAAAAGACTTACCTGAGCAAGGTTCACCGTCAACGCGGTATCCCACCCTTCCAAATCCAGCCACGACATTATTTTGTAAGACTGTATTGGTCCCTCTGTTTACCTAGTACAGTGAGAAAGTAAATGCTCTGGGTCAGGCTCATACACAATTACACAAGGAGAACAAGTATGCAACATACATAGGAAAATTAATTATGACTACATTTTCAGGAGGAAAAGTTTTTCACCTGTTTCAACTTATATCACAAAAAAATACTGAAATTAGGTTCTTGGTGTAAAACTGTCAGAGAGACACTATACCTTCAACTTTATCAGGAAATTGCATTAAAGGGCTTGTTTTTTATTTCAGTCACAAAATCCACTGGGTGTGGTCCAATATTTACAAGCCATAGATCATATTCCAGTGTTATAACAAGGTTACAAGGATCTTATCACTCTTCTCGGTTACATTCTGTTACTGATTTCATTTATTAAGAAAAAAACCACCATTGCAACTATAGTAGACCATAAGACTCAAACAGGCATTCACTCATTTAAATAACATCTGCTATAATAAAAAGCTGGGTTAACACAAATGTTAAATAACTACTACATGGTTTTATTATGAGCCAAGTCAGAGTGGCAGAAAATGAAAAGCGTACAACACAGACCTAGTTCTTGCCTATGGTGTCAGCAAAACAGTCAAGATCTCAATTATTTAAAGCATATCAAACATCTTTAGTTTTAAAGATTTTGATAAACATAGTCAAATGGAATTCATAAAAGTAAAATACCTTTTCCTTAAAAAATACAGATTATTGAAATATTTAGAATTAACATTTGATTACATTCTAATATCTCTAAGTAGATAAAAAGAGGGGATTATTACCTCATAAATGTATACTATGTTCCAGACATTTAGATTTTACTTTAAAATGATTATAATTAGTTGCACAAAAACAAAACTCAATCCTTATCCCACATTTCAAAGATAACTATTTTAATTCTTTTTCATGCCCATGGTATATGTAAATAAAATAAAAACAAGAGGAAGCTATGTTTCCTTAGCAAATCCTTTCTCTGTAGTTTCTATTTTCTTGCATGTAATCTCATTCTACATATAAAGACCTACAGTAATTGAAGAAACTTCATGGAAAACAAGAAGGACCCAGGTAGTAATATCAGATAAGAGTAAGTAACCTTAAGAATAGAATCACAAGAATTTTAGATAAGAAAGAGGTTTTAGAGACTCTATTGTCTATCATCCTAATTTTCCATATCAGAAAGGAAAGGAAATTCACAATTAAGTAGTAATATGTACAAGGCACTCAATTAGCAGCAGAGGTCTTTCACCAGAACTTGAAAGCGATAATGTTGGAGAAGCAAAGAAATAAGGTAACTCTTAAAACCAATGGACATAAACACAAAAAAATTGAATGGCTATTGGAGCTCACATCTTTAAAGAAAGTTCATTCATTCCTTTAATTAGGTCATTTTATTAGTATACCAATATTTACCTAAGGAAGAAATAGTTTTCAATAACATTTTGAGATTTGAGATTTATAATTTCTACAGAAATTATAATCGTCAATAAGGAAATTATAAATTATAATTTTACATACTTCTGTATAAATTATAAATTTATTCATACTACCTCAATTGCTGCATGCCAAAGGGTTGACATTAAATCTTTTCTGTTCTGATAGGTTCCTGGCCAAACTGAAAGTACAACCAGGTTTCCTCGGACTCTGTTGGCATTCCCCCATATCCTTATGCCTGGAAAAAACATGAAATCCCTCAGTACATATATACATTTTTAATGAATATTATGGAGAATGTCTTTCATTTTTTTTCCATGGAATTACTTTTCAAGATTAAGCCTTACAAATAAACCTTTTAGATTTTAGAGTAAGCCCTCTGAGCGCTTTGATACAGAAACTCTATCTCTTCAATAGACGGACTAAATTAATCTTCTGGGGTGCTTCTTACACATGTAGGTTCACAGGCTCCACATCAGATTTTAAGACACACATAAATTTTATACATCTTAAATGAGTTTGTATTATGTTTCATAATGACATTCAAGAAAGAATAACCTCCTAAAATCAAATACAATTTTTATAAAATAATATTTTGTGGTAATAATTTTTATTGATATCTGAGGACTATTTCAAAAGTCATACTAATTTAAAGTGTTAGTGATTAGATAGATAACTCACATAAGATCATGGTCTGATAAATAATTCAGATTTTATAATTTATAGAAACTAATTAATATTAAATCACTATACCAGTGTTCTTTCTGTTGTTTTAGAAGGAAAATTGAATATCAATTCTTTAATAAACATTAATTTCCTCTGTATGAATATATAGGAACCATTATTGAAATTGACTCTGATGTTTGACTGCTTGTCATATTAGGCGGATTCATATACAAATTCACTGAAATCATTTTTTATTAACAATGAAACATTACTAGTTACACTCTACATATTCTTTATAGAACTTAATTGAGTAGATTTGTCAAAGCCTATGTTTAAACTTGCCTGAGATGTCCAAAAGACCACTGATGGCATTGTAACTCATGATCCCTGCATGCGGTTTCCGGGGTGCCATGTTATGTGCTGAAGCAAAGGTAGGCCAGCAAATTCCACTTCTCCCACCTATTATAAAAAGAAGAGAGTTAATGAAATTTGAATATGCAGTCATGTGAATGCCAAAATTAAAGTTCTAAAACTTTCACCTGATGGAGGTCTAGAACTCCGATGAGCAGCAGAAAGTTCAATATTGGGATCATCATTAGTTAGGACATCAGAGCAGTTAAATTCAGGGCTACTTCCAACAATTAATGAGCTCTATTAAAAAATTCAAACAGTAAGCTTTGATAATAGCTTTCCCTAAAGGAAACCATAATAATGGATAATACTGAATTCTACTGCAACAGAACACAATCTATTAGTTTGAGAAGTGGATCATTCATAAAACTGAGATGAAAAAGATGTAATTTCTGCCTTGAGTGGAACGAATGATACTCAGTGCAGGAGGGGGAAGACAGGTAGGTAAATAATTATATATAGTGACATGTTATATTTCTATGAAGGAAATATGTCCAGGGAACAGTAGGAACAAAAAAATGAGGGCATGTCAATCCCAACTAAGCTGGTTCAGGAAGGACATCAGAGAGGAAATGAAATTTAACCAACTGTGGCAAGATTGGAAGGTGATAAGCAAGAATAGGTGAGGAAAAAAAGGAGAAGGTAGGGTGGAAAGCTTCTTGGTAGAAGACAATGAGAGCAAAGACAGGCGGTTTGGACCAGCTTTGCGTAGAAGTCAAAGAGATTGTTCTCAAGACTTTCACTAATTTTACCCCCGTACATTTGTTCTTTCACCTTATTGTGGCTGTATTAATTTCTTACCTTAATTTGTACTGTTTTACTGGAAATTTTGTGAGATACAGCAGCTGGCATGTAAATCATTGAAGAAATGGCCATTCCATTGTCAACCAAGGTCACATTATAGATATGTATACTTGACGTGGTCTGTAATACAATTTGTAGGTTATAATACAAACTAGAATCATAAATAAGACAAGCCATCACCATCTTGGATCCCATTTACCTGAAAATAAATTCCATAATCCCAGCATGTCCAAATGGTAAATCCCTGTATAAGAGAACATCCAGGAAGTCCATCTTGGTTCATATAGATTCCGTATAAACCTCCATGGGCTTCATTGTCAAACCACTTATCCATAGGATTAAACTGACCTTGGAAGGAAATGCAGAACCAGAGAATTAGCATTACAAGCCATGCCAAAGTTTTATAAGCAATTAGCAGTTGAAGTTAAAATTCTTTTAAAAATTAAATACAGAATTCTGATGCAAATCTCTGAAGCCATTTACAGCTTACTCTTTTTAGTATTTACTCTTATCTAGTTTGTCCCTTCCCATTACTCAGAATAATTGGATACAATTTGCAAAACTTTGGTTTAGTTACTAGCACCCTTCATTTATTATATTTGATTAAACGAAAACAGGAATTTGATTAGAAGGTACATGAGGTTTGGATTCAAGCAAGGCCAAACTTGAACCACAGTGATACTTCCTTGCTGTTTGTAAAATGCTTCCCCTGCACACCTTTTTGTTGCTGGTTCCTTCTGGTCACCCCATTTTTAAGTTAAGGGTCACTTCCTTAGAAGACCTTCTCTGACTACCTGAGTCAGAGTAGCACTTCAATTACTTTACTTGGCATTTCAAATTATTTTCACTTGATATTTTGTAATTACTTCTTTGAGAATTATCCATCTCTTCTCTCCTATTAGAATGTAAGCTTCATGAGAGAAAACACCATGACTAGCTCCTCCACCACCATATTCCTAGAGCCTAGAAGACAGGTGCTCATTAAATATTTATTGAATTAATGTATGCATGATCTTGGGAAGCTATTTAACCTTTTAGAACCTAAGTTTCCTTATACAAAAACGTTTTGATGCCTAATTCAGGATTGTTTGAAAACCAAATTAAATAATCCATATGAAGTGCCTCAATAAATGGAGGCTCTGCTCATTATTAATATACAGGATCACTGAAGTAGATTTTTATGAAGGTTTTACTTATGTTATGATCAGAGAGGAACCTTAATAACTTCCTCCCAATCATGCATAAATTGAGGATTCCCTAAAAAGAGCAGTACCACCTCCAAAATTGTACTGAGGAGTAGCTCTCTTGTCCATGTCCCCTTGTATGTGACTTCCTCCTATCCTCCATTAATTTTCCTTTCTTCCTGATACTTTGGGACTGAAATTTTACCTATGGGCTGCCTGGCTTCTATTCTGTTTCCTCCATGAGAAGCTGTATGTATGTCTCTCCCTTGATTCCACACAATGTTGCTGCCTGGACCCAGTGTGGTCATAGCTCCCTTCCCAGCATCCCAGCGTCTCCCTTGTCTGGGAGATGGCCTAAATAAGCAGATGACCCATTCCAGGAGCTTTAGTTAACCTCAATTGCTCCATGATGTCTCATATTTCAATTTCTTTTAATTCAAAACCTTCTGATAAACACTTTCAATTTAGGAATATCAATACAGTTAGTGAAAATGCATTACATGGTGTTATACATATAAGTAAATATTCATACTCACTGGCCACATTTTAATTTTCAGAACACTACAACACCTCAAAGATTGCAGAGAAATGTCATATTTAAAAATTTTAATTCAAAGAAAAGCCACTTTGAACTGTTGGGAAGTAAAATATTTAATAAAAGCACACACCAAGGAATCAATTAAATTCGTTGGCAGTTACTTTATTTCTTCAAAATGTATTTGCACAAGAGTGCTGATTCAAAGAATCCTAAAAATACCCTCACAAAGATAAAAAAAAATCAACTGTACAAGACATACATTTTTCTGAGAATATCCCTTATCTTTTTACTAAGTTTCTCAAGAGGTAAGGCCAGCAGCTGTATTATTTATTGTACTTTTTTGATCTGATAATTCATTTACCTAGTAGAAAAATAAGGAGATTAGAAAAACTATTCAATATTAAGTCATCAGGCACCCTGTTTCCACTCACCTTCTATGGCTTTTTGTTTTCATACTTCGTGTTTCTTTATGTAGACACAAATATCATATATATTCCCATTTTCTTCTCTTTCTTCCACAAACCATATTATATACAAAACAGTATTATATACCATCCTGCAACCTCCTTTTATCACTTAAAATATCCTGGAACTTTCTCCATATCAAAACATAGATATGTATTTTCTCCTTTTTTAGACCTAGTGCTCCAATGTCTGGCTTTATATAACTAGTTCAACATTATTGGACACAAGGCAGCTTTCAGTTTTCTGCTAGTATAGACAATGCATGATGAATGAACTCATTCACACATCAGTATTTAAGTGTTGTAGAGGCAAATGTTAGTTAGATTACCAGAAGTATAAATACTGAGCTGTACGTAGATGCCCCTATAATTTTGTTAGCTATTGGCAGATGCCCCTTTGTAGAGATCATATCCTTTTGTTCAACCATCGATGTTCCAGTTCCCCTACTGTCTTGCCAAGAGAGTAGCTGTTCAGTTAATTCTTGATTTTTACTCATCTGATAGAAATGTATTGAGAACTGTCTATGTCCTTTTTACTTTTTCATACTTGCAGGTTTTAACATATAAAAAAGGAGCATTTATTCCTTTAAAGCGGAAGCATAAAGAGTGGCATAAACCTATACACATGTATCTCTATGCTTAGAAATGTTGCTTCTGTGAAAGTGGTAGTAGAGTAAGGTACTCATTATTCCAATGCCAGCCAAATCAAGAATTGGTTACTCTTAGAGTTTTTGGGTCATAAACATGGAAAATGGTAATCTTTAAAAGTCTGTCCATATTTTCTTTAGACCCCAATGGTATCTTGAAATAATTTAGCCTGTTTAGTTCTTCCATTATCCAGGAGGAGGAGATATTACATATGAATTGACAAACCACAATTATTTATTTCTAACAAATTTGGACAAGTTATTTCTTAGTCTTAGTGAGTCTGTGGCAAAAGACTTACCTGAGCAAGGTTCACCGTCAACGCGGTATCCCACCCTTCCAAATCCAGCCACGACATTATTTTGTAAGACTGTATTGGTCCCTCTGTTTACCTAGTACAGTGAGAAAGTAAATGCTCTGGGTCAGGCTCATACACAATTACACAAGGAGAACAAGTATGCGACATACATAGGAAAATTAATTATGACTACATTTTCAGGAGGAAAAGTTTTTCACCTGTTTCAACTTATATCACAAAAAAATACTGAAATTAGGTTCTTGGTGTAAAACTGTCAGAGAGACACTATACCTTCAACTTTATCAGGAAATTGCATTAAAGGGCTTGTTTTTTATTTCAGTCACAAAATCCACTGGGTGTGGTCCAATATTTACAAGCCATAGATCATATTCCAGTGTTATAACAAGGTTACAAGGATCTTATCACTCTTCTCGGTTACATTCTGTTACTGATTTCATTTATTAAGAAAAAAACCACCATTGCAACTATAGTAGACCATAAGACTCAAACAGGCATTCACTCATTTAAATAACATCTGCTATAATAAAAAGCTGGGTTAACACAAATGTTAAATAACTACTACATGGTTTTATTATGAGCCAAGTCAGAGTGGCAGAAAATGAAAAGCGTACAACACAGACCTAGTTCTTGCCTATGGTGTCAGCAAAACAGTCAAGATCTCAATTATTTAAAGCATATCAAACATCTTTAGTTTTAAAGATTTTGATAAACATAGTCAAATGGAATTCATAAAAGTAAAATACCTTTTCCTTAAAAAATACAGATTATTGAAATATTTAGAATTAACATTTGATTACATTCTAATATCTCTAAGTAGATAAAAAGAGGGGATTATTACCTCATAAATGTATACTATGTTCCAGACATTTAGATTTTACTTTAAAATGATTATAATTAGTTGCACAAAAACAAAACTCAATCCTTATCCCACATTTCAAAGATAACTATTTTAATTCTTTTTCATGCCCATGGTATATGTAAATAAAATAAAAACAAGAGGAAGCTATGTTTCCTTAGCAAATCCTTTCTCTGTAGTTTCTATTTTCTTGCATGTAATCTCATTCTACATATAAAGACCTACAGTAATTGAAGAAACTTCATGGAAAACAAGAAGGACCCAGGTAGTAATATCAGATAAGAGTAAGTAACCTTAAGAATAGAATCACAAGAATTTTAGATAAGAAAGAGGTTTTAGAGACTCTATTGTCTATCATCCTAATTTTCCATATCAGAAAGGAAAGGAAATTCACAATTAAGTAGTAATATGTACAAGGCACTCAATTAGCAGCAGAGGTCTTTCACCAGAACTTGAAAGCGATAATGTTGGAGAAGCAAAGAAATAAGGTAACTCTTAAAACCAATGGACATAAACACAAAAAAATTGAATGGCTATTGGAGCTCACATCTTTAAAGAAAGTTCATTCATTCCTTTAATTAGGTCATTTTATTAGTATACCAATATTTACCTAAGGAAGAAATAGTTTTCAATAACATTTTGAGATTTGAGATTTATAATTTCTACAGAAATTATAATCGTCAATAAGGAAATTATAAATTATAATTTTACATACTTCTGTATAAATTATAAATTTATTCATACTACCTCAATTGCTGCATGCCAAAGGGTTGACATTAAATCTTTTCTGTTCTGATAGGTTCCTGGCCAAACTGAAAGTACAACCAGGTTTCCTCGGACTCTGTTGGCATCCCCCCATATCCTTATGCCTGGAAAAAACATGAAATCCCTCAGTACATATATAAATTTTTAATGAATATTATGGAGAATGTCTTTCATTTTTTTTCCATGGAATTACTTTTCAAGGTTAAGCCTTACAAATAAACCTTTTAGATTTTAGAGTAAGCCCTCTGAGCGCTTTGATACAGAAACTCTATCTCTTCAATAGACGGACTAAATTAATCTTCTGGGGTGCTTCTTACACATGTAGGTTTACAGGCTCCACATCAGATTTTAAGACACACATAAATTTTATACATCTTAAATGAGTTTGTATTATGTTTCATAATGACATTCAAGAAAGAATAACCTCCTAAAATCAAATACAATTTTTATAAAATAATATTTTGTGGTAATAATTTTTATTGATATCTGAGGACTATTTCAAAAGTCATACTAATTTAAAGTGTTAGTGATTAGATAGATAACTCACATAAGATCATGGTCTGATAAATAATTCTTTTTGGAACTGCCCCATATGATAGCCATAGCCACCTGTGACTACTTAAATGTAAAGTAAGTACCATTAAATTAATTCAATTAAAATAAAAAATCCAGTTCCTCAGTCACAGAAGTCATATTTGAATTGTTCAGTGGTTACAAGGGTTTTAGTAATTACCATATTAGTACAGATATAGACTATTTCCATTCTCACAGAAAGATCTATTGGACAGCATAGCTCTAGAGTTTACAGATAAGATTGTCTCAGAAAGACATGTTATTTGGATGAAAATATTATGTTACCTTCCCCCACTGTAAAGTGAATGATGTTATCATCTATGTCCAATCCATCTGTCCCAAACACACCAATTGCTGGGGAAAAGCCATTGTGAAAAGCACAGCCTCGAATGTAAGATAGGCCCCGTTCTTCAGTCTATAAAACACCAGGATTCAGTCAGCATTTTAAAAATAAAATTAAAATATATTTAAAGAAAAAACTGATATAGGTGATTTGCAGAAAACAAATCTTGATAAATAAAATATTTGATTTATATTCCATGAAAGGAGATGATTTCCTAATAAATCTTTTAATCCTGAGAAACTTCCATGGATCTTCAATTCATGACTAAACAAAGCAAAAAATTATGCTTATTTTAAATGCAGATACAAAACTTTAAAAAATTTTCCCTTGCATTTATATTTCTACCATTACCTGTAAAATGCTAAGGAACTAAAAATTATTTTTCAGAATACTTTATTTTATGAGAAAGCAGGAAATTTTTTAAATTACAAAAGTAGATACTCTGGGCAAGAGGTTACAACTCAAATGTCTTTAGGAACATGAGTAGGATAGGGGTTTCAGCTTCAAACATACAAGTTAATTTTTCATTTTCACAAGAAATATGCTCTCTCTCACTTTTTCTTAAGTCACCAGCCTTCTAAGCACATTCATTTTCTCACTTTTGAGAGTGGTATGGATATATAAACATGCTTTTCATTTGGGATATGGCTAATGAGTAAAGTTAAATGAAAAAAATCAAGATATTTTATTTTGAATGCATGTAAAAATTAAAAATATAGTACAAACCTGTCCTAGGTTAAGAAATGTTACAGCGTATCTTGGATCTGTGCTATCCCTGAAGCCTTCCTGCCCACTGTGATAAAATTCCACATTACTGATTCTTGCATTTCCTGCGGGGGGTGGGGGAAGAGTTACAAAATTGGTTTTCTTGAAGCAATTAACTATACTGAACAGCTACAAAAGTTTTGATTTTCCAAATTAAAAATTTGTTTTCAACTTCTTCATGGAAATCTCATTCGTTTCTCTTTGTTCCTTTAATCCAAATAAGGAAGTATTTCTGCATTTTTTTCTCACTGCCCCCCACAAGAGCCATTTTAGGGATTTTATTTTCCCAATAACATCCCCTCTCCATGAAATTTTAATACCACAGATACACTGTGCATCTATTAATGTATAGTGGCCCTTTGGAGGGTCATAAACCATTGTTTATCTAAGGTTTTCTTGCCTCCCAAGTACCAATTCTCACCCTCTTCGTGGTAATATTGTCTGTGGAGAATGCATGACATAAGGCATGAGATAGAATTTACCTGTCATTTCAATTTTGATGCTCTAAAGAGCTTTTAAGGGCATTATCTTTACATAATCTCTTCCAGAATAAGCATTGCCAAGTATCTGCTAATCAATTTGTTAAAAGTACCACTGGGGTGTCAAGAGGCAGTTTCAGAGATTAGTAATAAAAGCAGTAACAATCCATTAGAGGGGTTACTCTGAGCGAAGTGTTGTACAAAGTGTTTAACAGGCAATCTATGGGTTAATTCTCATACAACATCCTGTGGGTTAGGAACATTTATTATTCCTAACTTCTATATAAGGAAACTGGCAGAGAGATTCACGGCTGGTAAAAAAACAGTAGAGGATATTCCTTGTTTCAAAAACTGATATCTAATGAAATGCACTGAAGAAGAGTCATTTTGTAGAAGGGAAAAGCCTGTCTTGAGATTCATGAGCCAACAATTGGATGTATATAGTTGAGAACATAAGATGAGCAAGAGAGACAAAGAAGAAATGGTTCCTAGAGATCATCTGGGCCATAAATGTGTTTTCTTTTCTTACATCACAAAACAATCTGTAGGAGCAAGAAAGGGCTGTCGTGGGAATAGGGTCTATCATGGGATTTGAAGTGAAAGAGATGTGGATTCATATCCAAGGTCAGAGCAATCTCACCCCTCTAATCATCTATTTATCTATCTTTAAGAGAGGGAAATTATTTATGCTATTGCACTATGAGGAGTAAGTGAGATAATATCTGTTAAATGCTTAGTATGGCATTTGTAATCCTGCATCATGATAATCATTATCATCATCGGCATCAGTTAAGTTTCTATTGACAGATAATGACCAATAGGTAGAAATTACAGTGGGATAGCTCCTTGCTCAATATAAAGGTTTCTAAAATTAGAGCTGTTGCAAGTTGGAACAGGCCCTTGCAGTAACCAATCCTCTTTTTTGCCTAGTGTCTCTTCTTGTTCCTGTTCTCCTCTGTCTACAAAAGCTTCTCAGTTTGTACAGCTCCTTGGAGCTCCTTTCTGTCTGCTAGATTGGATGATGCCTGATTCAGGAATCATTGAATAAAGCCAGTAAGATCTTTCAGTTTTACTCAGTTGAATTTTGTTTTTAAAAATAAGTGAAACTGTATAGAAAAGAGAATTATTTAAGAACTAACTGAACATAGAAGAAACCATGCAATATTTCATTTAGAAGATAAACTGAATTTGTACCAACCTTTAAATGTCATCATATTTTCAGTGAATGTGCTGACCAGGACTCGTGCACCAAAAGATTCCTTGTACCAACCAGGGTACTCGTCACCAAATATTTTGATGTTCCTGCTCAGTATCCCAACATCAGCTGCTAATGTGTAGCTCTGACCTGTTCCAGGAACATGATATCTCTCAGCTGCAATGTAAAGACAGCTAAATTATTACCAATGCAGAAAAAATACCTCTGTTGTTTGGGGTTTCTTTACAGTTCATAGGACACATACATTTCTAATATGCCAAAAATCAACATGAATATTTAGAATTGCATGCTTAAACATATACAGATGGCAGACTAAAGTATGATACTTTTTATTTCTAAAATGGAATTAATCAAAAGTATTTCATTTACACCAAAAGGTTATTATAACCAGAAATTATGATGTTATTACTTAATTGGTAGTTTGCAGTCATTTTCTATTATATGCAAAAACACTGCTGTAAGGCAAATTGCGAAGCTTATAATTTTAACAGATGAGGAAATGAGGTAGAGAAGTGAAAGAATTTGCCCCATATCCTGTGGAGAATCAGCATCACATAGGTAGGTATATTTCCTGATGCCTAAACCTCAACCACAATTCTTTATAAATATGTAGTAGCATATCAGTCTGAACATTTACATCTTAATGATTTATAAAATATAACCTAAATTAAATTCTAGATATCTTACTCAAAACTTTAAGACAAGCAGGTGCATTTCAGGCAGAGAGAAATATTTGATAATTTAAAAGAATATGTAGTGTCAAACTGCCAAGATCATTTGTCTTACAGTTAATATTCTTCAATGTAACATTTTACTTTTGATTTAAAGAAAAATATGTGTTATATACTGCTTTAAAATGCTCTTATAAGTTTCTTTTTTATGAGGGTCAAATATCTGCCCATTTATCCTGCCACCTTACAGTTGCCTCAGAAGCATCTGAATGGCTTTCCTAACACTGTACTCCTGTGTGCTTCTGCTTCCTGGGATTCAGATAAAGGTAGCATGTCCAATAGGAAAGCCTGAGGTGCTGGGATGGCCCTGATCCCATAATCTTCAGATGATTCTGATTAATTCCCTCGTCTTGAGAATTTACAGCTGTACCATTTTCCTATAGCTTATCTAAATGCAGTTACAGCAAGGGAGTGAAACAAATTAGGACAAAGATACTCTCAAATCAGGGTTTCTCAAAATTCAGGGTGCAAAACAGGCACCTAGAAGCTTGTTAAAACAGTAAGTTCCAGCCTTATTCCATGGAATGTGAAACAGTGGTGTTTGCTGAATATTTGCTGAACAAATGAATGCACACAGCAGGGACTATTGGTCCCCTTGGTTAGTAGCACCAATCTGAATGAAATGCTCCTCAAAAATATTTGTGAGATGCTTTTTTATCAAGTAATTGTAATTACAAAGGAAAGCACTAAAAGTGTGAATATTTCAAGACATTTTAATTATGCATCTATTTGTTTAAAAAGCAGCCACTTACCAAGGTGAGTGTAGGAAAGTGTATCATTGAGAATAAGAGTTTTCTGATCATGTAGGATTCTAATGATACTTCTCGTTTCTGTCTGGTGGAAATCATAACTTGTGGTTGTTATCACAATCTCTTCTCTCTCCTTAGAAAAATTCAAATTCCAAGTTTAAGAACAATTTTTAAAATAGTTTTCTATTTCTTAACAACAACTATTTTATATATCTGTATCTATTTTATATCTATATCTATATAGTTTATATCTAGTTGGCAATTGCAGCATTATCAGAAAGAAGAAATTATACATTTAGGTCTTTAAAAATAAATATGCTGTGACCGATATTATGATTTCTAAATTTTGAATTATTTTAGCATTTCCTTAAATTTAAGGATAAAACAAACTATATGTTTAGGTCTCTAAAAATAAATATTCTGTGCTTTCTGTTAAGAATTATAATTTTGAATTATTTCAGCATTTCCTTAAATTTAACTTAGTCATTAAAGAAAATCACAGGCAATATACTTTAAAAAATTAAATAGATAAAGGCAAATATATTCATATTTCTATTAAAAACTGGTCAGTATAATATTCTTAAGGCTTAGAAAAATTTTCCCAGATTTTGTTTTTACACAATTAACTATCACTTGATATTCCTGAAAAGTAAAAGACATATATAAAATTGTTTACACAAAATCTTTCCTGATTTTCCTTTCATGACTAGTATATACATAATGTTCTTTATATATTTAGAAGGATCTTTGAGATTCCAATTTTTAAATGCTTGTCATCAGGTGAGCTTTTTGAGGGCAAGTTGTTTATAAAATACACATTTCCCTGGTTAATCATGTGAGATAATAAATGCCCATGAGAATAAAGAAGAAGGCTTTTCAAGTCGACCCGGTATGTGTATTCACTCTCCACCACATGGTATTTCCTCTACCTGCCAGTCCACAGCATCCCTCAGAGACAGGGTTCTGGAACCTGCTTCTGCAGTTCCTGAGAGCTTGGTTTTGTATATTGAACGTGGAATTCCATGAAGATCCAGCTCCCCAAACACCCCTGAGGGAGAAAGACATGCTCCCATTTATTCACCACACAGAACTGAGTTAGATGTTAGCCTTTTTATAAAAGATAGTTCATTAATATGTTTTAATAAGTGACTGGACATTTTAGAATGAATGGAATGAATTGGGGTTTTCTGCTCAGGGCTAAGAAGGTTTTGACCTTTCGACACACTTTAGGAATCTGGTCTATAGAAATTAAAGCCAGTTCCTAAAGATAAATGAATAAGGATGTTTACTACAACAATATTTGGAAATATTAGAGAACTAGAATTAATCCAAATGCCCATCAATTGGAGAATAACAGAATAAATTATTATATATTAATACAGCAATCTACTATAAAAAGGAAAAGTGTTATCTATAAGCAGTGATTTGGAAAGATATCTACAATATGTTAAGTGAGGAAAGAAAATTGCATAGTAAGATATTTAGTTTGACCATATTTTTCATAAAAGGCACAGTACTACTCTACCATAAATAAATACATGTAATACAAATAAAGGAATCAATGAAGAACATAAGAAGACCTAAAAAAGTTGCTAACTGATACTAGTTTTCTCAAGAGGAGGTAGAATTGGAAAGATGTACATTTTTTCTTAATATTTTGTTTTGATACTGTGTGTGTCATTTGCAGTGCTACTTTTGAAATAAAAAAAATAAACACACAAAAGCAAAATTTTCATAAGATGGAATTTGTCTGCCTTGGGACATTTGCCAGTGGAGAGCTGATTAGTTCAATCTCAAGCTATTTTCTATGCCCTTATTTATTGATTATCACTGTTTTACAAATTGTACTAGGGCAAATGCAGTACCTGCTTATATGCATCTTTTAAAAAAATATGCAGTGGTATTAATAAATTCAGTTACTAATTATGACCAAACTAAATCCTTTCAGTTCCTTTGTTTTCCAGGCTCAAACAGGAATATGTACAGTCATACAAATGCAGCTGGGATGTTAAAATTCAGCAAAAGTTGTGATAGGGTAGTTAAGAGCAGAGTCAACTGATCCACTGATTTTTAATACTGTAAATGGAAAAATGTATAGAAAAGTTACCTTTTAGGGGAAAAGCACTGAAGTATGAAATCATTCTTGCTTATATAAAGGAAAGATTATAAGAAAAAACAGATTGGAGAAAAAAGATACATATGGGGAGGTTTGTTAATGTTAGTTTGCAATGAATTATATTTTGGTTTAAATATACACATGTACATTTATTTTAATGTGGCATGACTTAATTTAAAATACCTCTGCTCTTTTATAACCCTTTACTGTAAATAAGTGTCTGTAAAAGCTTCTGATATCATAACATCATAACTGGTACCAAGTACTTAAGTGCTCTATGTTTTAAAATAGATTCTAAAAACTGATATGACACTTTTGGTATCTGGAAACACATACCTAAGACCTTTGATCCTTGATTTGGTCCTTCTGGAAGAGACCATTCTGGAGTAGAATGATTTCCTCTAAGAACAATCTGTAATTCTCCTTTAAAAGGGTTATCTTCCCAGCCACCAATTAATCTACCTCCCTGCAGTAAAACAGAAAATTGTTAATACTTAAAAACTGAGCAGAAAAAAACTCCTCCCATAAAAAAGGAACTAAGAAAGCACTGGCACCCTCTTCTAGTAAAAAGGAGTGAATTTTGTCATACAAAGAGCAGTGTTATAGCTGGAAGTGATTTAACCCATTCCTCTTGGGACAGGCAGTTGAAATGATTTTTCCAAGGTCAAATCATTATCTACTTACTGTCAGAACTGAATCTAAAACTGAGACCTGCCAAGACCTATGCTAGTGCTATTTGTACATATCACACTGTATTTTATCACAATATGCATACATAAAACATGCTTTTCACACTTACATCCAAGCTAATGGAATTGTGTGTCATTGTTGTTACAATAATAATACTTACCACTAAATACTTGCTGATTCTATGTCAGGCATAGCATACACAGCTTTACAAATATCATTTAACCTTTACACTAAATCCATGAACAAGTATTATTTTCACTTTATAAGTGAGACACTGATACTAAAAGAGGTCAAGTAACTTTCCTCAAGGTTACCCAACCAACAGAAAGGTAAAGATTCAATCGTAGCTTTAATTTACCTCAAAGCTTGTGCACCTAATCAAAATGTCACAAACCTTTAAAGCATTGAAGGCCAAGTTTTATCAAAGAAAAATTAATACTCTTATTATTTTTTAATGGTGCTTAATAGCTTTTTGGCTCAGCCATTCTTTTTAGTGAACAATAATAAAAGATAGACAAAACAATGCAATTGATTAAACTGTTACTTGCTCAAAACCATCTGAGGTTTATGAGAGAATGAGGTGATTGTTCCAAGCAACTAAAATATTTTTATTAGTCAGCTCCCACTCTCATAATTCTATCTAGGCCCATACATTTTAGGAAATGCTGTTTGTTTCCTAAAAAAAAATGAAAAGTCTTAAAATCTTTCATTTTTTCCTCAGAACTTCTGGAGATTCTCTGTTTGTTGGGGCAAGTTGTGAGTTTAGCTTTATCTAATAATAATTTAAATATTCTATGTAGGACTGAAAACGGGCAAACCTCACAGTAAAAAGTAGCCTGGTAATTACTCCTTCTGGAATGCCTAGTCCATAATTTGATGGACAGCAGAAATATACTGGATTTACCTGAGGCTCGCTTTTCATGGACTTGAGCCAGTTGTGCTTACTCGCATGCATTGACTATGCTTTCTCAGAATTTGTTTTAGCAAATGTCCAACATTTTAGAATTTGATTAATAAGGGTAAAATTTATAAGACCCCTACTCCTACCTGCAGTGATATGTAGGTAGCATTCAGAACAACTTTCCTGTAAGGAGACTCTGCAGCACCCACGTTATGTTTATCTTCCAGCTCTAGAACCCCCCAAATAATGAGCCTTTCCATTGGTGGAATATCTGTGTCTGCTACAATCCATGTTCCTGTAAAACAATACTTTAATATAAGAAATATATAATAAGTCATAGACTATAACCTATAGGTAGGACATTGAAAACCTTAACAGTGAGTCCTGGCTTTGCCCTTTGTGACCCTTTTTCTACACAGTGGCTGACTTCTCTCTCCCAGAAAATATGTATTCTTAATATTCAGGATTAAATCCACACAAAACCCAGAAGGCTAGATCTAGTATCCAGGACATAGTAAAGGAATTCACCTCTTTATCTTTGCTCTTTCCCTAAGGTGTGCTACAAAAAAGTGCAATGCTAACTTTGTGGTATGTATCCTAATGTTGCATAAATGCCAAGCATTATATTTGTTTATGTTTGTGTACTTGCCTTCAGGAATAACCACATTTGCTCCTGGGTGAGGTATGGTATAATTATTTTCTCGAGATGATTGCCAAAAAGAGTCATTTGACCATAAGCTGAAAAGAAAAGAGAAATAGTTCCCTGAAGTATCATCTCTATATATTTAGTGACTATCTCCTTAGGGTGCAGCCCTATACTAGATGTTTTGGGAATGACCATGCGAACTAGTTTATAATTCACTAAGTAGACAAGCTAATAAGTACATGTAGTAAAATGCTCAACATGCACAGCTAGTTTTTTTCTCCACTGAAGAAAATTTCCTTCCCATCCACAGTCTGAATTGCTTTTTCTCTCACTGAATCCTTATTTGTGAGACCATGATTTTGTCTAAATTTCCTTGTAAGATTAAACATGGTGGAAAGTGAAAGAAAAAAGCACCCTTTGTCCATTTAAAGACCCTTATGCATGATACTACTCATGGGGAAAGAGAAAAAAAAGAATAGAGTAGGCTAGATTTTGTGAATGGAGGGATAGAAGAATGGTTTTTCAGTGAGCAGAATTCACACTGTGGGGGGAAAACCTATACTGTCATATACACACGCAGACTATCTACATATACTTCTGCCTACCTTGGTGTACGAGTCATAACATGTATTAATTAAACATTTAATAATTTTATCTACCTTCCACCTCAGAGCTTTTTGAGCAATAACCTTGATGGCTTATACCTATAATAAAGCCCTCCGGAGTTTTTTTGTGAGCCTCCCTGCTTTCTCCTCTGTCCCACTATAATACTCACAGAGTAGCAAAAGTGGTCTTCTCAAAATGTAATTTGCAATACGGCACTTAGCTCACAGTCATTTAAAGGCTTCTCCTATTTCAGTCTGCATGAACTGGTCTGATTTACACCTGTTTCCAACACATTTCTGGGCCATTTTTCTGCTCGCCAGGGTCCAGCCATGCTGATTTTCTCTCAGTTCTTAGATACGACACACTATTTCCCACATCAGGGCCTCTGCCCAAGTTGCTGCCTTGGCCTAGAAACTTCCCCTCTGGCCCTTCACGTTGACAGCTCTTCCCCATCCTTTGGGGCTCAGCTGCAATGCTCCCTCCTTTCATAGGCTGTTCCTGACCATCCTGCCCAAGGAGGTCGCTACTCTGTTGTTCTCTGTCCTGGCCCCATAACCATTCCTGTTATAACCTTCATCGTAACTCACTCAGGTACTTTACCTTCTGTTTACTTTTTTGTTTCTTTGTTTGCTGGTGTTGGCATATGTGTCTGGATAGAATGTGTGTTGAGGGAAGGGACTGTTAGGCTGGAGGAAGGAAAGACAAGGACATGCAAACAGAACAGAGAGATGCCATAGGGTGAGAACAGACCAGACCCCAAGGTCCGTGCCTTATATGGAAAGGGGACAGCTCTTCCTGAATTCCATCCTTCTGATGTGCCAACTAAGACCTGGATGTCAGCCTCCTCCCTCTTGGAAGGAAAAAAGTTTCTAGTTGTCTATTATGTCACCTTTAGCCAATCATACCTCTCCACACCCCCTACGATAGCTTGCCCACTCCTCCCCCTCCTAATCCCTTATAAGCCCCCACATCCCTGACTGGGTGTGACTTCCCCAGCCTGTAGTACCCAGACCGCGGAACATCACCCGGGAGCGGCATTCAAATAAACTACCTGGCCCTTTGTTGCCTCTCTTCACCTGCTTATTTCAGCTAAAATTTATCTTACAAGGACCACATCTATGTTTTTCACAATTGACTTCCCAGAGTTCAACACAGTGCCTGGTGCACAGCAGATGCTCAGTAAGTATTTTTTAATGGTTGAATGAATATGTAAACAAATTCTATTATTGCTCTTTTGTACAACAGCCACTACTGCAGCATCTGTATATTTTGAAATGTAACTCACTAACTAAATAACATTGGGCTGTACTTAGTTTATAGCATCAGTATTTACTTCTATCACCACTCTCATTATTTTGTTATTATTTCTCCATAAGGGATACAAATATACATCAAATCAGGACCAGGGTTTTAAGGGTCTGAAATACTAGCACCTTAATGTACTAGTTCCATCATGTATATTAATTACTATAATGCAAGATAGAAAGTGATGTTTCATCAGAGAAATAAAGGTGAAGAGCTATGTAAATTTCAAAAATAGAAAAATTACTTTTAACTGGAAGAATTAATCTACATTTAGGAAATCAAATATTTGAAATACAATTAAATAAACTGTAATATGATTTGACCATGACAGTTATTCTAGAGAAAGAATCACTACCTGCTAAGACAGCATTGGATTAACAAGAAGACTGTTTCTAGTGCAGTTCCAGATGGGTCATTGAGAAGTTTTATGATCTTACCTAAGTCACATAAGTCATTGGGCTTAAGCTTTCTCACCTAAATAATAAGGAAGCTGGTCTAATAATCCAGCTCTAACATTCTGCAAGTCTGAGATTACCAAGAACACGCACACATAAATTTTGTAACATTTTCCCAATTTCTCATCAGGGTGGTTATAAGGCTGAAGTGAAGTGATGTGTATGGAAGTGCTGTGCAGGAGGACGGCATTGTTTTCTCAAGCAGTGGTGATAAATGAAAAAGATTCTGTCAAGTGCATTTGAAGGTGTTACTGAACAGAGGGCTATGTACTTATATGTGTCTGGTCGCTTCCGGGGAACTGGGTTTACTGATGGAGGAGGGACAGGAAAGCAGTCCTGGAGAATGCAGCAGTAAGCTTGGAAATTAATAACAACGTCTTTCACATCAGGATCCAGGGTCCCAGAAATGGGCTGGCTCTGGTGAAGGTCATTTCTTCCTGACACTGAAAGTGAAGTAAAACAGTTTAGATTAACATGACGATCAAAGGACTTGAATGTAAACAAAATCATGGCAATTTGAAAATACTCTTTAGATAGTAACTTGGTATAATTCAAATGCATGGAATACACAGGGAGAAATACTGACAAAATGAGAAGCACATAATCAAAATATCTTGACAAAATGAGTATTTTAGGACTTATAATTTATTCTTAAATGTTTTTATTTTCTAAAAATAATTAAATAGTAAAAATGGAAACAAAGTATGTAACAGCTTCCATCCTACTCATGTCCTCTGATTTTGTAAAGTGCTGGATCACATGCAAGAGCATTGGTGCTATCTCCAAACACAAAATGTAAGTTCTTAATTCAACTCAAGGCCTTTTCCAGCACAAATTTAGTTTCTAGTCCTTTCATTTAACAAACATTTCTTGAATCCTACTACAGACAGGGCATTGTATAACACACTTTGCCCTTAAGCAATTTTTCTCCTCCTTTAGACAAAGCGTTACATAAAATAATCACTCCTGCCTAATACACACCCAAGTAATACAGAGTGCTAGTGTTTGCTTCGAGGTGCCAGTCTCCATTCTTGCTCCTAGTCCAGTTCAATGGATTCGAAGAGCCATTCCTCATATCAATAACATTAAACATATCAGGATTTTGAGTGAAGTTATGAGATATGATTACATAGTCTTCTTCCTATAAAAACATGCAAAAAAAGGTAACTTGTTTTATATGTTTATATCCTGCATAATATACATGAACTTTAATGACATGCAATTCACCCCAATATTAGACTTAGGTTTTGGTTTTAGTTTATTTTTCATCTTATATTTATATTTTGTTTATTAATAATTCATACATCTATGGCAATAATGCCAACTCTACCCTACAACAAAGAAAGTCTTTCTACACACACACATACACTTAAAGAATATTTTATTTCTGTAATTTTTAATGTTTTAATGTTTAATTTCGGCAATGATAAGTATTTTTTTTTTTGGCTGCAGATATGTAGAAGAACATGAATGGGGATGAAAACACCCAGTTCAGAATACTGGTTACCATTAGAGGTGGTGAGTGGGGAAAGAAATCATGGTAAGCCATACAGGAGATGTCCACTTCAGCTAAAATGTTAACTTCTTTCAAAAAAAATCAAAAGTAAAAATTTGCAGAATATTAGATTCAGATAGAGCTAGGTTCTATACATACTGGAGTTGGCTTGCTTTTTTCTGCACATGATGTATTTCATAATACAAATGATAAAGTCCTTAACTGATACCTGAAACATCATAAGCATTCAACAAACGTTAGTTATTATCATGATAATAATGACAGAGCACAAGCTTAGTACTACAGGAATATGGCAGAAAGACTGCTTACTTTTGATTCTTCAACAAGGTTTTTCTTTTTGGCTTAGTTTTAAGGGGAGTTGTGAAGGAAGTGCAGGATTTTGAAAGGTCGATATGGGAGACAAGGGCATTCTGAGCCTAACAACTGGTGCAAGGACAAGAACAGGCTGAGTTTGAATAATATGCAAGCGTAATTATTAGATGGATTTTATAGCTCTTTAATTACCTTAAATCCATAGAATGTTGATGTATATGAAATGTTGGTTATGTGATCTACATCCTTAAAATACCAATTAATATGCTTTGCATTTGGAATGAGAGCCATCCATCCAGACATATGAGTTAGTCGTTTTTTCTGAAAGGGAACAATGCTTGTGCCTGTAGGAAAACATAAAACAAACAAATAATAGTAATCTCTATCTCTAGAAAATGTCTCCTTTATGCATAAGTGCAAATGTGAAATATTAATCTGGTCTATTGAAGTCTCTAAAAAGGTGGTATAACATTTCAGTACATATGTACTAAGTGTCTTTGTTAACCAAAGGCTCCAACATTTAACATTATACTTAACTGAAACATAAAATGTTTTCTCCCTTGCAATTTTTTTTTTTACGAACTTGCGCAGGGGCCATGCTAATCTTCTCTGTATAGTTCCAATTTTAGTATATGTGCTGCCGAAGCGAGCACTCCCTTGCAATTTTGAATTGAGATGGGGCCTTTATTCCTCAGGGGCAGGATAAAACTGAAACATGATGATGATTACACCTACTGTGACAAAAGGGCTTAAATACATTAACTCAATTCTTTAAATATCATTGATCTAAAATATAATTCCATTTATAATCTTTTAGAAACTTCATTCTTCAAAATCCTTAGTTTGCAAAGTATTCAAGCATAAGCTCTGATTCATTATTAGATTTTCCTTTTTTTTTTTAGTTAATCAAAATCTGTATAATGAGTACTAGTAGAACATTTTGATTTCGAGCTCTCAGGGAACCAGGCTACAACGAGACCCATCACTAACACTGGCCATGATACTCTAAATTTTGTGAATGACAAACTTGGAACTTGAATTACCTGTGATGGGAAAAACTATTTACTTTAATAATGCTTTGGTCAGAAGAGAGCTGCCTTCAACAACTTCAGTTGAAGATTTCAATGTATCTCTTATAATATAAAGAAAAAAATCTTTGATTAATTGCCCATATTCTTTTTTTCCCCCTCTTTTCAACTCTGACTAAATTTTCTGTTAAAGCTCCAAACTCTTCCCTTACAATTTAGGAGAGAGAAACTAAAAGCAAGCTTATAAAACAAGTGTCATCCTTTTCTTTTGGGGGATAAAGGCAAAAAAAAAAAATCCAGTATTAAAGGGGAGCAAATTCATTAACTCTGAAGCTTATGAATTAGTGTCAGTTCTGGAAAGGCCATGAACAGAAGCACAGAAAACAACAGTTCTGAAAGACCTGCAATGTATAAGAACTACAATTTGGATTATTCAGCAATTATCCCCTCTTTTCCCCTCCTTGAGTGCAGAGTAAACTTTCCTGACCTTCTGATGGGTGACTTCTTTGGCCTACGGGGTATCAGCAGAACACTGTAAAGGCTTGAAAAGAGTTTGCTGGGTGAGGCTTGCCCACTTGAGCCTCTGACATTTGTAACACAAAGAGCCTCCCCCAGGTAGCTGCTCTCCCTTCAGCCTGAACCCTGGAATGAACACACATGGGGCAACCTGAATTCAGCCCTTGGGGAGGAGCAGAGCCTGCTGGATCCTCACCTTCAAGCAGAGCCCACCCCAGATCGACCAACCCAGCTCTCAGATGCATGCGTGAAAATAAATGTAGGTTTAAGCTATTGCATTTGGGGATAGTCTGTCGTGAAGAAATAAGTAACTTATACAAGAGTTTACAAAACTCATCCAAAACCACTAGAATTTTCTCTGTTTGGCAGAACCAACCCCCACTGAAGTTTTCTGATGCATGGAATTATACTCTAGCTTGACATTCTGTTTCAAAATATAAAACTAATTCTTACTTTTCATAGTTATTTGTGTTTTCCTTGGTTCTTTTCAAGTGAACTCATTCTCAATATGTTGATTTTAGATATCTTGGACTGAAATATAAACTCTTTGAATGTATTTAAAAAAACTATCATAAAGAGTAAGTGTCTCGATTACTCTGCCATCTGGTCTAACTTTATATGTATCATGCGTGAGATAAGGATATTTGTTAAGCTATACCAAACTTTATTTCCCATTCATTTAGTGTAATCGTTGAATTTTTTATTCATTCAGTAGACATATAAAATCAGAACAAGTGATCTCATTTTTCTGATTTTAATTTTTGGTAGCAAATCATTTTATTTGACCTTAATGGAGATTAAATAAAAAGTCAAACTTGCCTGACTATGAAATGTGATTTATTTTTTATATCACATTATAAAATAAAGTGCCTGGCATGATGTTTCCTCTCCTCTGCAATTTGGTCTGAGCACTGCAACTAATTCCATTGCAATTTAATACTTACCGAGTCCCTACTATTTGCAATGTCCTGTGTTGAGCTTTGTGGGTAGCAAAAAGATGAATTTATAAATCTTTTCCTCATGATGTTCACAGTTTAGTATTTAAATAAAAACCTTAATACTTGAAGGGATTAGGCCAAATGGCACAGAGAGACTTCAAAAGAAAGCTACAATCTTATTAATTAAAAAATGCTAGACTTCTTGAACAAAAATTTAAAAACACAAAAACTCCTCTCTCCTAAAATCACTACCACCACCACCAACAAAAACTAGAGACCTGAAATGTTTAAAGATTAATGCTTAAAAATTAATAGTTTAAGGTATATATACTTTATCATGTTGTAGTATTTAAAATCACTTAGGAAGAAAAATGGTTAACAGTGACATTACAGTGAGAGAAATAAGTGTGCTTGGATCTTTTGATAAAGTCTTTATATATTTATGATTCTTTATTATGTTTAGATTAGATCTTGATGATTGCAGTTTTACACAGTGTCATCAAGAAGCTGTATCATTTAGATTTATGCAGAAAATGTAGAAAAGTATACTTGACAATGATCTGTTTAGCAAATCTTTGATTCATCTATCCTTTTTTTATTTTCCAAAATCTGCAGTCCATGTAGATATCAGAACAGTGTCTTTAAATATTTAATTGTAGACAGTTATTTTAACCAATAGCTCCTAGACAGATGAGGGTTGGATGGAATGACAAAGAGACAGCTATATAGATCTAGCCAGTTAGGGTAGCCTACGTCAGGTATGGAGGAAAGAGATATACTTAGTAACTGGAAGTTCCCACATTGGTTCCCTAACTAATAGAATGACAGTAAATCTGGTAGCAAAGACTGTTCACACTCTGGAAGCATACCTCCCACCCCCTTACAAAGATTTAAACTAAAGGCAATTCCAAATCCTTGAGGGGGAAATACAAATATTAGTACCATCGTGAAAGATCTAGGCAATGCAAAGATCAGCATTCCTACCACATCCCCACTTAATTCGACTGTTTGGCTGGTGCAAATGCCAGATGGATGATGAATAACGATGGTAATTAATGCAATCTATTCAGACGATAGCATTGAGCACATCTGGTGAGCCAGGTACAGTATCTTTACTGAAATAAATCAGTGAACCAACAAGCTCTGGCACCTGGTGCAGATATTAACCTAGCAAATGCTCCCCCCATCCCATTTTAATCAGCAAAGATAATCAAAAGCATTTGCCTTTAGTGGCAAAAACAATCATATATTTTATTTTAACTCTCTTGTTCTAAGGGCTACATCAACTTTCCTGCTGTCAGAATATTGCCTGAAGGTTCGCAAGCAGAAGAATGTCATGCTGGTTCACGCATTTAATATTCCAACACACCCATTTTAAGGGTGTCAATTGTTTCCTCTCTGATTTCTTTCTGACTGATATAAATATTACGTTTTTTTCCCTGTTTCCATGATGACTAAAATTTAAGAAAACATATTTAAATAGGTTTAAGTTGGTATATTCCACTTACCAAAAGAGTCTGAGAGAACCACATCCTTTTCAAGGAGAGACACGGGAGAAGGTCTGTTGAATGCTAAACGGTGGACGCTGACTGAGGCATCACAGACAGACCCGGGAAACCCGAGGCTCCACTCGGCATCTGGGGTGCAGTGAGCAGGGTCCAGCAGTGAGCTGTGTGGGATGACTGTGTGTCCTTTGTGACCTAGGAAATGGACACAAACAGTATGTTTCCCATTTCATGTTAGAAAACTAAAAAACTGAACTGTCTAGAACATACAGGCACTGTGTTCCCTAGTACCACTAATACAATCTAAAAGACTTGATACTTCTTATTTTGGCATAGGGTGAAGAGCCCTCACACAGAGGCTTTGCAGTGGTCAGGGAGCTCTTTTTGGATGTAGCTGACACCCTGGGCTGGGAGCGCCCATGAGGGACAGAATAGAGGAGGACGTGGGTACGTGACCCAGTCCAGGACACCTGGAAGGGTGCTCATCCGGGCAGCCTGACCACAGAGGCCGTCTTAACCGCGGGATTGCCAGCTTACATTCAGAATCTGAGCTGAGGTAAGTGAACCAATAAAGGTTACACAAGGCTTTATATGTTAGTACCACCCAAATGTTCTTCTTCCTAAAGCAACAGTTAGAAGAGGGGTCAGAAGTTAGCACCTACAGTTGAGAACCCAGTCTGTTTGAATATTGAGGTGAATCTTCTTCTATCTTTCAGACTTTCAAAAGTAAGTTGTTAATATTTGTACATCTAATTGTAAACTGTCCCTCTCTTATAAAGTATTATGCAGACTCAACCTCTCTCTCTCTCACACACACACATCCTTGCTATCTTATTTAGATATTCTTCATCATTGAACATTTATAAAGATACTAAATTCTAGAAACCATGATTACTTACAGAAAACATGACATTCTCTGAACTAAAAATTATAAAAATATTTAACCTATAAAGTATGTTGAATTTTGTGCTGGAATTAACATATTCTCTGAAGTAATTCCAAATTCAGAATTTGGATTGGAAAGAAAAGGGTTAACAGCAGGCTGGTAATGTATTCTTCCCCTTTAAAGTATTTGAGGAGGATATATACAATCTGTTTGCATCGTTTATGTACATAAGCCTGGAATTTATACATTTATGAGGCATGACTGGCTGGAGAATTTGGATAGTTATGTAAGCAGTTTCTTATCTGTGTAATTAGCTGAATATAAGATAGAAGCATTCTAACACTGCAACAACTACTTTTTGTGATCAGTGTTTCCATAAATATTACTTATAATTTGCTGTTAATTCAAAACTAAAGTGCAAATGCAAGGGGAAAAAAAAGATATTTTTGGAGGCTGTAATTGACAGTTTGGGGCTTTTCCAGAAAAGAATGTTGCATCTGTTGACCTATATCTTTAAATCATCAGTAAATTCGGTTCTGGGTAAGATCTGTGATTCATGTAAGTCTGCTTTGGCAGTTCAAATCTGTGTGAACACAAACATCTTTCCAATATATTTTATCAGAAATTAAAGCATAACTTTACCTGTAAGTGAACCATCAACATCAATCAGGACCACTTCATGCTCCCATCGAAAGCCAGCTTTGTTTGGTGTGTGAAAATACAAGATATCATCAAATTTTGCACTCCAGCCTCCACATCTGTCATTACACACTCCAGTAATAGATGTCACTCCCAAGGCTGCACAGTTGGGACGGTCAAAGTTCATAAAGTGTACAGAAGATACAGTCAAGCCTTCACTAAATGGGAGAACTAGGCCTTTCCTTGTGCAAAATGCAGGCCCCATTCCCAATTCATCAAGATGACCAACTATCTTGGCATTTTTAATCACTGCTCCACTTGTTTCACCCCATCCTCTGATGTAAGGAGCCAGGATTCTCTTGGTCTCAATTCCAGACTCATAATTATTTACCATCACAAAGTTATGGAACTGAAGGGCACCTCCATTGACCCATTCAGCTCCTTTTTGACAGTTCCAAGTAGTAAGTGAATTAAATATGGCAGGCACGGGTGCTGTAGAAGTACAAGATCCTGTTTGCATGGGGAAATATTCTTCAAATATCCACAATCCAAACCAGCCTTGAGAATGAACAGTGTTGTTAAAGAATTCTCCAAGAGGAACTCTTTTTTGGCAAATGTTTTGGTCATAAGATGGCCCATCAGGGTGATCGTTCATTCGGTACCAAAAGCCAAAGTGTGTGCCACCAGCAGCTGCATTGTGTCGAATGGTGTTGTTTGGGTTAGTTACCCAAAATGCAGCCGGAGTCACATCATCATTCAGAAGACTAGTACTCTGCTGTACAAATACTGCCAAGTTATATTGCAGGATATTGCCATGTTCAATACCATCTTCTATAAAAAATGCTCCTCCCTTGATATCATATATAATAAAAAATGCTCCTCCCTTGATATCATATATAATATTCCTCTCCACCAGAAGGTGATGTGTGTTATGGATAGTAACAGCTCTGTTATAGGCCTGGTGAATTGCACAGCCTCTTATATAAGATTTAAAGTGTAAATCTCCAAGCAGGTGCCAATGTATTGGATATCGCCCCAACCGGAAAGCCTGGCCAGCATGGAATATCTGTCAAGCCCAGAAATCACAGCTATTTAGTGATATACATAGACTCAGTTTGCTTGGCTCATATTTTCTTGTTTCAAAATAATCTCCAGTTTTATATGAATTATTATTAATAGATTTATACCTCCCACATTATTCATGTTTATCATTTGGAAATGTTATTTGTCCCTCAACTTACATTGTTTTATTCAATATAGAACAGCCCTTACTTGTTACCAAATAAATGAACAAATGAATGAACAAAAGCCATCTTTGACTCTTCTGCTTTTCACTTTGACCTATTACTAAACTTTTGTGTTTAGCAAAATATAACCTCTCAAAGACTTTTCTTTTATCCTTCATTTTGATCCTTATATAATAATAAGAAACACGTCTTGAATGTTTACTGTGTGCCAGATATTATGCTAAGTATCTTACATGCATGATCACAGTCTTTACTACCATCCCATGAAGTAGCCACTTACCATTAACTTTATTTTACAGATGAGGAAATAGAAGTAAACACAAGGCTGAGTATCTTGTTCATGGTCATAAAGTTCCATTTAAACCCAAGTTGGTCTGATTCTAGAGTTGGTGCTCTTATTAACCACTCTGCTGTACTTTCTTTCAATAGGTCTAGGATCTAGTAATCTAACACAGAGGATGCCAGAGTGTGTGAGTGTGTATGTGTGTGTGTGTAGTATTGTCCTATAAGGTTTGGAAATAAAATGTTTGGACATCCATTTATTTTCATTCATCATTTAAAAATAATTAACCATTGCTAATATTTAATATACAGATTGACCTTGGCAACCTTACTCAGTCCATGTCTCAGATATCACATAGGTGTGACTCCCCTAGGAGGAAGGGAGATTCACAGAATGCACGTGTTGACTCTATGACCCTCAGGGGTTTGTTTGCAATCTAAATGTTCCCAGTTTAATGGACTTACGAATTTTACTATCCTTCTCTCCCCAACCTCTTTCTTTCATTTTTTCCTTCCCTTTACTGAACACTAGTAAAAAGGATACTTGACCCTGATTATATAGGCTGAATATGAATAAGACACAGAGGAGTTCCTAATCTCTTGGTGGTAATTTGCATATTTATTCACTTATTTATATATTTGTTCAGTTAATAATCAATTGAGAATCTGCTATATGCCAGGTACTGTTTCAGCCATAGGGGAAAAAGCAGAAAACCAGAAAGACAAAATCTCTGAACCAACTGAGTTTACGTTCTAGAAGGAGAGATTGAAAATAGATATAATGTCAGGAGTTATGAGTAAATAAAGGAAAACAGGGGCTTGGATAGTTATTTCAAATATGGATGGTGAAGAAAAGCCTCTTTGAAGAGAAAACATTCAAGAAGAGACATACCGAAATGAGAATGAGACCATGCCAGCATTTGGTGGAGGGGCATTCTAAGCAGATGAAACGCAAGTGCAAAGACCCTGAGACAGGAATGGGCTTGACATTGTTGAGGGACATGAGGAGGCCTCTGTGCATGAGCCAGGGTAGAACCACAGGAGATAAAGTCAGAGGCCGGCTCATGGACAGATTGTGTGGATCCTAGGGAAGGACATGAGACTTTTTGTTTTAGGTGTAACCTGAAGCCTTTGATCAAGATGAAACAATACCTGGTTTATACTTGAAAATGTTTACTTTGGCTGTGGTGTGGAGATTCTACCAGAGGAAGGGTGGGAGCAGGATGATGAGCCAGGAGAAAATCACAGTAGTCCAGGCTAGATGGTGGGTTGGGTGAGGGATCAGGTGGTAGTGGTAGAAAGGTAGTGGATTCAGGACACAGTAGATGGAACTTGCTGATGAATTTGATATGGGATTGAAAAAAATAGAAAAACATAATTTTGGCATTAAATGGGTGAATACTTGGATGTATTGCAACTTGTTTACTTACCTGTCTCTTCCACCAGATTATAAGTAGCATCTGGCAAACAGTAGGAGCTCAATGCTTGTTCATTGTCTGGATAACCTTTGTAAAACATTGTGATTTACTAATAATGTCTCTTACCTCTACATATTCTATTCTTCCAGTCACCATGTCAGCACCAGGAATAGGTGCATGAAACATCATGCAGCCTCCAAACTGGTCACTCCCTATTTCTTCCCCGAACTTTCCTTGGAGACAAGTCTGTGTGGCAAATTCACCTTTAAAAATATCACAAAGAAAAACCATGTCAAAAATCCTCTAACTATATAAACATTTCCCCCAATGCCTAATTATATCTTTTATTTACATATAATTTTAGTTTCATCCTGGATCACAATTATTTGCCTTTACAGCATTTTCTCCTCTAAATAGTAAGAAATGTAACTACCTTGTCTTGCTCACCTTTGTATTCCCTAAAGTATTTACTATAGAATTTTTAAAAGTACTAATAAGTATTTGAATGGTTGAGTAAATATGGTTAAGTATTCTGTCTTATTATGTCTAAAATCGTCTCCCAGAATTTGCCGATTAACATAATGCAATCTTATACTTGTATAATACTAGGAATATTCGTTATGTCACTTAATTCTTATGAGTATAGTAAGTAGGGAGAACAGGAAGTATTTTTATTTTGAACAGGATAAAATTATGTTCATGGACATTGTGATACTTGATGCAGATGAACTAGAATCAAAATATAGGTCATTTGACATTGAATCCAGTGAGCTTTGTCTTTTATTTCCCACTGAAGGAAAGGTTACATATAAGCTGCAATTGTTAGTATTCAACTCCATAAAGGATTATAATGGTATTAGTGATTACATAAAAATATTTAAAAGAGACTTGTAAAATACACTGTACTTCTTACATATACATTTACATTATACATTTATATTTATGTATGAGAACTGTGGTAAGTGAAGCATAGCCATGGAATCAGTCCTGACTAATGACACCTGAGTAGAAGGGACATGTGTCACTTCAGGACCAAAGTAATTATTTGCTGTTGCCTGACTCTCCAGCCACCTGGTCTCCTATCTCAGAGATCATGGAGCTGCCATCAGCCTAGTTCCTGGAAAATTACAATGAGCAGAGGCCCCTACCCTTGTTGGACACATGTAGCATGAATAAGAAATAGCCATTCTCATTTTAAATCACTGTGATTTGGAGCTTATTCAATAAATAAGCCCCAAATCATAACCAAAGCATAACCTATTCCAGTAGTTCTCAACTGGGGGTGATATTGCCCTGAGGAACATTTTTGCCCTGAGGGAAACATTTTAAGTTGACACACTATAGCTGCTACAATTACCTGTGTCAAATCCATCAGGACATGCTGGAATTTTGTTATTCCACTCCACATTATTAGATCCTTTTATTAAAATGTTTCTGGTAAGAATTCCAACTTCTGCCCTTGCTTCAAACTGAGTTCCATCAGGGAGTGTGACAGTGACTCCTAAGTGCGTGTAATTCAGTGGATGAGTTAGTGTTACGTTTATACCATCTGCAGACACAGATGCAATGGTCCTTTTCTCATTCTCGTGTTGACTGTGTCTGTAAAAATTTTAACAAAGACTTTAAAAATGAATATAAATGCCCATCATATTGTTTCAGTGCATTTGTTTTATGCTATTTTGGACACCGTCTGTAGAATATTTTTCAATGTCATACAATATTCTGAAGAGAAATTGGAAGATTTTGTTTTATTCATTTTTAGAATAACCGAACAAATTTTACAATGCATTTCAATTAAATAAACATTTTGTGAGTGCTATACTTGTTCACAGAATTTTACTAACTTCTATAAAGTATTAAAAAGCTATTCATTTATAACTTACAACTTTGACCATCACATTCAGTGGTTTTTTTGTTGAGGATGATTTTATCCCCCCAAGGCACATTTGGCAATACCAGGACACATTTTTGGTGGTCACAACTTGGCAGTAATATTGGCATCTAGTGGGGAGTGGCCAAAGATGTTTCTAAACACACCGTCACATATAGGACAGCCCTATGTAACAAAGACTTTTCAGGTCCAGAATGTCAAGGTTGAGAAACCCTCACCAAGGGAAGCCATGGAGGCTCCTGAGCAGGGAAAGAAATGATTGAGGTAGAGTTTCAGAGATCTCATTGAAACCATTTCTTCAATACTCTCCAAACTCCAGGCACAGCAAGACAATATGTCAAATCTATAATATGCTTGTGATACGTAATATGATCCATATATTTCATTCAACAAACATTTACTGAGGGTCTAGCCTGTTTCCTAGGCACAAAGCTAAATACTAGGGATACCAAATAGAAAGTGCCCCCAACTTTAAAGAAATGTGTGTTAATGTCTGACTGTATACACTCTACTGAAGTGTGACTGGTGGTATTAACAGAGGTAAACTCAGAGGAGTTATTTCTGTCTTTCTGACATTCTCTTTCGACTCTTTTCTTTCTTGTCAAATCTTTTTCCACTTTCAAATACCAGTTCCAATGACATTGTCATATGTGAAATAAGTAAATCACCTCTTTCAACTTTTCCTACCCTTCTTCTGGATTCCCAATACACTTTGCAATATGTCCCGTTAGTGCTCATAGTCACCATACTATTGTGTCTACCTACACCTACACCATCCTTTCTACATCTATGCTATCTGTCCTTTCCACTACCTGTCTTCTCCTCTAGGTAAGGCTCCTGTTGAGTTGCTTTGTATGCTGACCACTAGTCCAGTGCCTGTCATAATTCAATGACAGTTTCTGATTGAACAAATTAATACAGAATGAATTTGTGTGGGGAAGAAGTAGAGGAACTGAGCCCAAATAGGAAAATAATATTCCTGGTGTGAAGGACTGAGAATCTACATTAAACTGAGAGCAGGTAAAGATGGTGGAGACACATTTCAAGAGCAGAACCCAGTGAACTTGGTGATATGCAAGAAGTGAAGAATGCTGATAGTCAGAAGGGTACTGGGAAAGCTTTCATGAAGATCAAAATCAGTCTGAAGGGTTTAAGGGTTAAAAATGGATTTTAGGGTGAAATGGAAGAAATGGGCATAATATTTAAGCAATTTTATTTTATTTTTTTAAATAAGGAGATGAAAAGAAAGTAGCTAGAAAAGATGGGAGACTGAAGTTGTTTTTTGGGATGGTGGAAGGATGGAGAAACCCCTAATTCCAAAAGACCCAAAAAGGGAAGGAGTTGGGGGTAGGGCCTAGGGGAGGCAGAGATTAAGGATGCTCCAGATAAGGGTGTATGAATACTACAAGATCCCATAGGCAGTATGGAAAAATAAGTTAGGCTAGCCTCTTGAATTCTCTTGGATTCAGATGACACAGAGAGTTCTTCAGCAAAGAAGATTCTAAAAAGCATTTTTATATCTCATGTGACAAAAATACACTTTTCCTTTCTACGTAATAATATCTAACTTACATAGCACTTACTTTGTGCCATGTTCTATACAAAATGCTTTACACATATATTAAGTCATTTAATTCTTACAATAATTTTGAGATAGGTACTAATAGCATTCCAATTTTACCGAAGCTCAGCAAGGTGAAATAAAATGTTTGTGGGCCTGGTAAGTAGTATTGCTGGGAGCTGAACTTATTAAGA